TCAATCACTTTCCACAAGCAGCACTTGGAYATGGAGGTCCAGGTCCACCACACAGGACATGGAGACGACTGCACCACAAGAAAGTGCCAATGCTGGCCAAGAAGACCCTTACCTGAACATATTGGCCAGATGGATGACACTCCGAGGATCCCACCTAGTAAAACAAAAACACCTCAGAACACTGGAACAAGGAGAGTTATTATTGATCTCTGCCCCCTTCACACACAACCATTCAATTCCAACATTTCCCTGTTAATTTCCTTTCAGGAAGTTCTACCAGAGATCAYCACTGCTACCTGTAGAACACCCAGGCTTAGAATAGATCTGAACAAAACACTTCCAATTCCAACAGCATCCATATCATATCCCAGGGAATTGTTTAAAAGGCCAAATGGCACTGACTGCTTTTTGAGCAAACTAAAGCATGAAAGAGATGTACATACTTGCTGGAGCAGACAGTATTTATCAGCTGTTTCTTAAATTCTTCCCCATTCAGTTCACCTGGAAAAAAAAAACAGAAGTCTTATAGAAGCACATTAAGAGGAGAGGWGGACAGGACAGGACAGGGAGAAGATCAGAGCTACCTTTCCCATAAGCCAGGCACTCCTTAGAACTGGCCAGTGCAGTAAGAACAGTGGAAAACAACTCCAAGGATTTCCCATTGGACAGGCTGCCTCCTTTGATAATGTCAACAAAGAGGGTGGCGAGTTCGGCCAGCGCCCGGCCTGGCAGCTGGCGAGCCTGGTGGAGGATGCAGGAAAACAGGAGCCTGAGGCAGCACACGAGGCAATTCCACACACAYGTCCAAGCCATCACCAAAAACCAGCAACGGGCAAGATTTATAGCAATTTATAAGGCAAGATGAGATTTCTCCACCGAGCCCTCTGTTTTATGATGTGCTTTACAGAGCTCTGCAGGAGATCAGGCAAACTATAGGTTCAGGGGAGTTGAGTTTATATCCGAATATCCATTGATAATCATATGTACACAGTAAATTCCAAAATTAACTTGGCACAGGGAGATAAACGGACAGGTCGTAGCTCCTTTTCCTCAGTGYTCAAGTGCAGCATGCCAGGCTACAGCGGACACTCAGCAGACCCCAAGAACGGCAGCACAAACGAGCCCCTACCTCCAGCATCAGCAGCCCTATGATTTCAGATGCTTTGGCCAGATGCAGATCCCCAGACTCCACCAGCGGGACGCAGTGCTTGTAAACCATGAGCCTTCTGCAAACACCRCTTTCCTGGGAACACGGGGAACCTTATGATATGAAAACAGAGACGACGAAGGCAGGATGGGGAGAGTTAGGTAAGTAACAACACGTCGCTAAATAGCACAACATTATCAGCTGGACTCAGCCCAGCTCGGCCATCACGCACCTCTGAAGATGCCCCTTAGCAGGGCCGCCGTCTCCCTGCCCTTCAGGGCCTGCTTGGTCACCATGTCGCCCAGCTGCAGAGAGAGCAGGAGGCCGTGAGCGCCCGGCCCGGCCGCGGGTCCCCGGCCGCGGGTCCCCCGCCGCCACGCGCGCACCTCGGCCTCCCCCAGGCCCTGCAGGGCCGCCTGGAGCCGCTCGGGGGCCTCCTCGGCCGCCAGCGCCAGGATGCGCTGCGCCATGGCGCCCGGCCGCCAGCGGGAAGCGACACGAAATTCCCGCCCGGAAGCGCCCGCCCGTCGCCCGGGCAACCGGGCCCGCCCCGGCGCTCACTTCCGCGCCCTCCCTCGCCCCCCCCATCTCGGGCATTACCCTTGGGTGGCGGGTTCGAGTCCCGCGCGGGGCGGCTCGGCGCCCATCAACTCCCACCAGCCCTTCTGGTCACACTGTCCTTGGGGGTGTCCCCGCTGTCCCCCGGGGGCCCTTCTCCTGGCGCATTTTCAAATAGCTGGCGCGATGCTCCTAGGGGGAGCCAGGAAGCCCTGCTCCCTTCTCTGATTCTCAAGGGAAAGCCGCCTTCCCACCTCCTTCCCGGCACGCGGCAGCTCCGTCACGGTGCCCTTGTGCTTTGGGGACACGGGGCGCGCAGCACGTGGCGTGGCGGCCGCGCCAGCACAAAGCGCCCAGTCAGGCCTGGCTGGGGCCCCCGCGGCTCCAATCCCCTTCCCTAAAGTCCTTAATTCCCAGGGCACCGTTGGTGTTGGTTTAACCTGCCTTTAAGCAGCGGGATTTAGCGGTGCCGCGGGGCCCGGCGATGCCCGTGCCAGCCGGGGCAGGAGCGGCCAGGACGAGGAGGGAAACGAGCGTCCATTGAGCCAGTGGGACGCTCCAGGGAAGGGTGACCCGGCGAGGGAGCAGCCTGGCACCAGGGCGAGCACGGGAGGCGCYGGGGCAGCCGGCAGGGATCCCTGGGGTCCCTGGCTGCCTGGGACGCGGCGTGCGCTGGGTTTTCCCTCCCCTCTTCTTGCCTGCCCTTCATCCCTGGTCATGTGTCCTCCTCCTCCTCCTCCTCCCCGCCTCGCAGTGGGGTCCCAGCGCTGTTTGCCAGTGCTGTGGAATCCAAATCCTTAAATCCACACGGCATTACAAAACCTGCCTTGTGTAAGGCCTTCATCCTTGCCCTGCCTTCCTCCCCCTCCCCAAATCCCCATGGCAGTAAGAGCCTGGCCAGGACACGGGGCCTCTCCATGGGCTGTTCTGCCGGGGACTTCATCTGCAGAGCAGGGAGCCTCCATGCGGAGCCCCTGGACGGGGATGAACTTGGAAACCTGCCTCCGCCCGCCGCTCGGAGCGGGAGAGCAGCCTATGTCCCATGCCCAGGAGAGGGTGGTGCTTTCGGCCCGGAGCCCAGGGTGTCCCCACACCACGGGGACAGAGCGCAGGCTGCCGAGGGCACCTCGACCCGTGCTGCCCATTGCAATGTGTGTTTTGAGGCTTCCTTGTTACGTCGGGGCTGGGAGGCACCAAGAACAGGGGCAAGGGAAGTGCTGGGATGGAGCTGGGCATTGCCAGGAGTGACACGACCCGGCAGCACCCTGGGGCAGCCTGAGCTTCCCCTCGTGATCTTTGTCCCGGCACAACCTGGCGACCGCACAGCCTGTCCCCACGCCCTGGACACATGCAGCGGGGCCACATTCCCACCRGGATCTCGAGAGGCTCCTGGGGGGCTCCGGGGACGTGTGCGGTGTCACGGCCGGGTCCTGCACAGCCCCATGTCACCCGTGTGCTCCGCCGCGGTGGCGCGCGGCCACCCGCTCCTCCCGCTGCCCGCGCTAATGAGCGCCCTGCACAAAGAGGAGCTTTCATTGCTCGCTAATCGGCGCCCGCATCGCGCCCCGGCCCCCCCAGCGCCACCCCAGCCGGCCAGCAGCCCTCCTTGCCTCTCCTCATCTGCCTTTCCTAGCGTTTCAATGGGGTTTCTTGCCTGGCTTAATGAAAAGCTGGGCTGAGTTGATGCCTTGTGACGGCCTAATCCCAACCCAGTGACTGTACAAAGCTTTCGCCGGGCTTTCTTGCTGCTCCACTCTGGCCTCGCTGCCCGTGTGTCCGAGTGCTCCGCAGCCCCCGGCCCTGCGCGCTGACCCCTTGAGCACAGCTTAGCTTTTCCTTTCTCTGGTGAGTAGTTGGAGTCTTTTCATCTTAACTCCTTTGCCTCGGAGGCCCTAACCCAGCACCCTGACCTGTCACCTTGGGGCTCTTTGCGGTTAATTTGCAATCTGCAAGGCAGTCGCCCAATGCCTTCCCAGGGAAAGGTTTCCTGACGGGGAAGAGGAAGCCCCTGGGAGGTGCTAGGAGGCTTTCTAGGATATGTTAGAGCCCATCTTGGGCTCGGGAGCTGAGGAGATGCCTGGGTCTGCAGGCGAGCGCGGCGAGGGCTTCGCGGCTCCCACAGCYGCTGCGGTGGTGGGACAGGCTCCAGGAGGAGCACAGGGCTCTGCAGCCCCACTGTCCTCCCCAGCCCTTCCTCTGCTTCCCRACCATGCCAGGATGCCGGTGCACAGGGATGGCAAATCCCATGGGGATCCGGTGGCTGCCGCAGAGGAGCTGGGGCTGCGTGGGGGTCCTTAGTGTCCGCAGCAGGACCAGGCAGARCAGTGAGGAAACCTTCCAGGCTTCCCTCCTCTCCACCCGCAAAACTGGRATGTTTCATCCAGCATTTGTTAAAAAGAGGTCGAGTTGTTTCATCGCCCAGCGGCTGGAGGTCCAGGCTTACAAGTGATGGGCTTGGGCTGGAAAAGCAGCGTTTGACCCGCTGTTGTGAGACACCCAAGGAAATCAGAGGCAACAAACCTCCAGCCAGCCTGGAGGATTGCTGCGCTACAGAGATGAAGCATTACCTAAGAATTCCTGCTTCATCCTGACCATCTCCATGCTGCAAACCTCAGAGTGGCGTGCAAAGAGCCCTGGAGTTAAGGAGAGGCTTTTGGAAGAGGGCACCAGCCGTCCTGCTCCTTCCAGCTGAGCTCGGAGCCGCGGGCGGCGCCGGATGGKCTGTCGCACGAGGACAGGACTGGCTGCGTGGGAGCTCTCCGTGTCCCATGGTGTCCGCAGAGCAGCGTGTCCCGCTGCCAACCACACTGACCCGGGACCTCTCCTGCCTCCCCGCTGCCATAGACCGGGCATTTACGTCTGCGTGTATGAATATGCCCGAGGTGGAACCACGCTGGATGAGCCTTGGGTCCCCGTGACTCCATGAAGCCCTTGGATATGTCTGCATGTGGAAATGCAGGCCCTGAAGCAATGGTGGAGTCAGAAGACCAAAAGCCACATTTCTAAGCTGCTTTTGCAAAGATCCCTAGCGTTTCTCAAACACGCCCAGCTTCCATCGGGCAGAAAGGGACACAGGCACCAGGCGACCGAGCCAAGAGGAGGGCACAGGAAGGTCTGCCGGGAATCCACCTCCCTCCCCACACAGTCTTCGCTGTCCCAGCTGAGCGGGGCCTGGCCAGGAGGGTTGGGGACCTGCCAGCTGTCACCGGGGCTCTGCTGGGYTCCTCTTGCTCTCCTCTAGCTAACGGGGGTGCCTTCTGCTCTCTTCCAGCGTCCCAAGGCCGCTAAAGTAGACATGTCTGCAGTTGTGAGTACTGGCTCCACACCGCGCYGTCCCTTGTGGGCACCCGGGTACCCTTCATGCCCCCTTTGGCCCCGTGGGTGCCCTGGGGAGGCACTGACGCCTGCCCCGCGCACGGYCTGGGGAGCCTTGGAGCTCTTCCCACCCCGGCCCCCATCCCAGTGCATCCCTCGGATGTGCCATCCCCGCAGCCCCCAGATCCGCCCTGTTCTCCCCAGCATCTCCCCTCGTTGCCGTGGGGCAGGTCTCACAGGCGGGGGGGTCGCGTCGCGGGCAGCGCGCCAGGGCCGATCCTGGCGCCACGGCCTCTCCTTGCCCGCAGACAGGCACGTTCCGCGTCGTCTCCGAGGAGGAGCAGGCGCTGCGCACCAAGCTGGAGCGCCTCACCACCAAGGACCACGGCCCCGTGTTTGGGCCCTGCGAGAAGATCCCCCCGCACACCCTGCAGAAGGTGAGTCCTGGCGGGAGGCGCAGCCAGGGCACGGGGATCAGCAGGATCTGGCTCCGCGGAGACCCTTGCAGCACTTGCAAAGGCGAGAGCAGCGCTACCCCAAGCAGGGATGCACTGGGGGCAAGCGGGGCTGGCATGGGGCAGGATTGAGTTGACTCCACAACCAGCCACTTTTAGCTGCCCAAATGCTACCTGAGCGCGGTGCCAGCGCCGGGCCCGCGGCGCGGGGTGCTCAGCCTCTCCCTTCCCCCGTGAGGCGAAAGACGAGCTGAACGAGACGGAGGAGCAGCGGGACGCGGCGGTGAAGGGGCTGCGGGAGCTGGTGCTGGAGCGGGCTGGCGGCGGCGAGGACGTGTGCAAGGCCGTGGCCGAGAAGGTGCAGGGCAAGGACGACTCCTTCTTCCTTCGCTTCATCCGCGCCCGCAAGTTCGACATCCACAGGGCCTATGATTTGCTGAAAGGTGGGTGCTCTCCCACATCCCCGTTGCGCTGCCAGCTCCCAGGACGGGGCAGCTCCCTGCCACTCACCAGGGCTTCCAGCAAAATCGGGACAGTCCCCCTTTTTGGTTGTCTAACGAGCAAAATGGTAAACATCCTTGTGCATTAGGGGTGGCTCTTCCCAAAGCAGGATCACTTGGTCAGCAGTGACTCACACGCTTTAGGGACAGGGGAGCAGGGAGCAGCCCGGAGTGGTGGCTTCGGGCCCCAGATCCTGCCTGGCTCCGCTCTCATCTCCTTTGTTTTGGCTGGGGGATAATGAGTTGCAATTATCAGTGCTGGCTCTGGGCATGAGCWGTTTTGTCCACCCACATTTTCCCAGGGCGAGTTTCCTTGTTTCATGCCCGAAGGCCCTTTGTGCCTGCCGGGTGCCTGGGGCAGAGGAGATGGGCTGGTGTGGGTGGCTGGGGGATGTCACCCAAACGTGGAGTGGGGAAGAAGGGTAATGAGGGGAAAAATGACTTAATCCGCTCCTGGAAGTGCCAGAGAGAAGGCAGATGTGAACTGAGTCTGAGGGGAGTTTCCAACCCCTGTCCTGGAGGGGGTTGSAAGGCAGATGGTCTGCAGGGGGACTGAAGGCAGATGGTCTGCAGAGCTTATCTCTGCCCATGTGCTGGATGTGCCCAGCTGAAGCCTGAAACCCTCAAGAGCAAAGTTGTTCATCAGGAATGTATCTCACCATCACCCACCTGCCCCATTCTCTGGTGTTTCCCCTGCCTCCCCTGGGCTCCTGAGGACACAAAAGGAGCCGCTCTTGCTCCCAAGCCCCTTTCTGTCTCCTCCCAGGCTACGTGAACTTCCGTCAGCAGTACCCCGAGCTCTTCGACAACCTGACCCCTGAGGCCGTCCGCAGCACCATCGAAGCGGGCTACCCCGGCATCCTGGCCAACAGAGACAAGTATGGACGGGTGGTGATGCTCTTCAACATCGAGAACTGGGACTACGAGGAGATCACCTTCGATGAGGTCAGCGCAGCCCAGCCTCCAGCAGCAGAGCGGTCTCACTGGGTTGTCCCACTTRGTGCATCTGAGCACGGTGTCCCTCACACACATGTGCACACATACACGCTTCAGACATCAAGATCTAAGTGAAATTGCAGCCTTTTTCAATTTATCCTTTCAGTAGCTCACAAGGGAGCCTGGGAGAGCATGGTGCATCCCAAAGGGTTTCCCTTCCTGCTTCTTGATATGGTGCAGACTGGAGGCCAAATTCAGGGTGTGCGTTTCCCAGCCCAGGCAATGCATGGGTTGAAGGAAAGCACTGCGACATCAGATCACAGATCTCTTTATAAAGCAAGGAGTCCTGAGGGCAGAGGAGGAAACTGAGGCATAGACCAAGGAAAGGGCTTGTTGGCAAAGAGGTCTCCAGGTATGTATCTCTCMATTCCTCTCTTTTCTGTTCAGTTCTGAATTTGCTTGCACATGTGAGAACCATTGACCCATATCTGAGATGCACCTGCCTGGAAAGGGGAGTGTGGTAGCTGTGGAGCATCCCCCGGGAATGTCCTCCCTGCTTTCATGGTCTAGGGGCTGAGCAGAGTTTAGCAGAGCAGGGGTAACACTCCCTGTAACTGTTCCTGGGAACCTCCTGTCCTCTATAGGAGGGGAGACTTTGCCTTCACACACTAACACCAGATCCTCCCATCTYTCAATCAGATTCTTCGTGCCTATTGTGTCATCTTGGAGAAGCTTCTGGAAAATGAAGAGACCCAGATCAACGGGTTCTGCATCATTGAGAACTTCAAGGGCTTCACCATGCAGCAGGCATCAGGGATCAAACCCTCTGAGCTCAAGAAGATGGTGGACATGCTGCAGGTGAGGTGGCAAGGACTCCAGCCAGGAAAAGAACACCCTGAGGGAGCAGAGAGCTCGGGAAAGGGGAAGGCAGTGCTAGCATGGGCTTGGGGCTGTCCCTGCATTGATGCCATGAGATCTTTTCGTTTGTTTTTGTGGAGAGGTTGTTCACCATCACCTGCTTCTTCCTTAGCTAATTTGCTTAGTCCTGCAAGTTGGATTCTACTTTTGGGCTGCAGGTTCCTACCTTCTGAAAAGCCYAACCCCTTCCTGCACCCTACTGCATGGAAAAGCAGCCTTTCCTTATCTCCCTCTCAGCTTTGTGTAGTTCAGGCTGGATAGAGACTTAGGTGCTCCAGGAGTTCTGCCCTTAGACCAGGGGCTGAAGATGCTCAGCTTTACTCAGGGGAAGAGGACAGCATAGGTACAATATTTCTCATGGAATGGGAACAATGAGCCATCTGTGGGGCTTTTCAGCTTCCCTGGTGTCCCCATTGGCTTGAGATGTCCAACCCTTTGAGTCAGAGCATAGAAGAGACTCACAATAGCAGTCAAAAAGAGAATGGGAGACTGARAAAGGGGAGCTTGGGAAGTGTTGCTCAGTTCCTCTCTTAGCTCAGTGTGGTCAGCAGTCTGTAACCTGATGTGTATGGGTTTGGGATCTGCAGGACTCCTTCCCAGCCCGCTTCAAGGCCGTCCACTTCATCCACCAGCCTTGGTACTTCACCACTACCTACAATGTGGTCAAACCGTTCCTGAAGAGCAAACTGCTGGAGAGGGTGAGTGCGGGAGAAGGGCCGGGGTAAAGGCACATCCCTTGAGCACAGCTGGGTAAAACAGAACAGCCGGGGGCAATCTGGTGCCTTCAGAATCACCTCCAGCCAGTGGCTGGAAAACRTCTCTCTCTCTCAGCCTGCCTGAGCACATCTCTGCAGTGGGGACAGGTTTGCAGTTGAGCACAGCTGGGTGGCTTGTCACGCCACAGGGGTCACTGCCAGCTGGGTTGGAAAGAGCCTGCAGCAACACACAGCAAAGGCTGCGCTTACATCGATCAGGAATGAGGCCAACCAGTCCTACTGGCTCTGGCATCCCTGGGCCCCCTTCCTCCCTGTGGGCAGAGCTGCCCACCTCGTCTGCTGAGGGTTGTTGCTGTCTCACACCAGGTCTTTGTGCACGGGGAGGAACTCGAGTCCTTCTACCAGGAAATCGATGCTGACATCTTGCCAGCAGACTTTGGTGGCAACCTGCCCAAGTACGACGGCAAAGCAACTGCAGAGAAGCTCTTTGGGCCCCGCATCGAAGCTGAGGACACAGCTCTCTAAACCTCTCTAAACCCAGGTCCACTCCCTCTCCCCTGTAAAATAGGATCAGCAGTGACTGTCTAACCTCAGCCACCTCCTTACCATAGCACTGGGCGAATGACTGCTCGTGATGAGGYGCTCTGGATGTGTTGTTCTACGCCTGCTCCGTGCCTCCCACCCCAAACTTGGCAGGGGGCTGCCCGGCAGCCCTGTCTCTCTCAGGAATAGCGTCCTTAGGAGCCAGCAGAGCCAGGAGGCCACCAGCACCTTCCACAGCACATCCTGAAGCTGTGAGGGAAGGGCAGCAGAGCTATTTCCCGGGAAGGGAGGGCTACAGCAAGGAACAAACCCCAGTRCTCCAGCGCACAGTGGAAGTGCAGAGCTCACCATGTGGCTCAGGCAGGCTTTTCTCTGCTTCAGCCAGGCTTGCCCCTTATTTCCATGGGGCTAGGGAGCAGGAGGGCCCTCGTGGCCACGTCTGCACCCATAGCTCTTTACCAGGCAGCTCCTGGGTTGGTTGATCAGCTCCATGGGAGCAAGCAGGTGCACGGAGGGGAAAGCAGGAGGGCAGCCCCTGCTCGGCAGGAAGGTGAAGCTTCCTGTGCGACTGTGTGGGTAACACAGCCAGAGGCCATCCCTGCAGGAGACCCCCACAAAGGGCTGGTTGAAATGTGTATAAAGAGAAATAATAATAAAGTGTTTAACAGTAGAGTTGTGGGGTCCCTTGTGACACATGGCAAAGGAAGAGGGGTGCAGCTTGTTAGACACAGRCAGGCACTGGGTACCCTGCTGTTCCTAAGGAGCCAGGAGCGCCAGCACCTGGGAGGAGAATCCCTGCATCTGTTCCTTTGACGCTAGCTCTGCTGAAACAGGCTGCTGTAGCAGAGGGCAAAGGAAGYTGCTTTCTCCGTCCTCCCTGAATCCCAGAACAAGGACCCCCTTCCAGCCCAACTAGGCCCCTGAATTCTAGTCCCCTGCTCTAACCAGTGTAAGAAAAGTCTAAAGGAGACGAACAAGGATCTGAACAGGGACCCACATGGAGCTGGTTCTACCTAAACCCCACTGAGCCTGGCAGCCAGCAGAGAGGAACAGAAGCTACAGTAGCCATTAAGAATAGATGGGCTTTAACCATAGGACAGGGAAAGCCAAGCAGAACACAGCCTCCCAAACCCTCTAACATCTCTCTCTTCCCAGCCCTGCAGCATGAGAGGGAGCCCAGACCTAAGCAGTTCAGCCAGAAGCAGCCCATAAAAGCCAACCAAAGAGGGGAGAGGAGAGCTCCCTTCTAGCACAAGAGCTGTTCATTATCCCGTAATGGCTGGAAGCCCCTGCTAATTTATTCAGCAGGGAGGCAAATGTAGCGCTCTCTCAGGGAAAGGGATGAATCCTGGTTTACAAAAAGAAGCTCATAGGTGATGATGCAAAAAGAAGCTCATCCAGGGAGCATTATCAGATGTCTAGTGCTAGACTAACAACTTCTCCATTGGCACCTGAAGAGCAAGAGAAGCAAGTTCCCAGTCTCGGCCCAGGACTTCACAGTTACCTTCCTGACACGCCAGTGTCCTGAAGGGTCCTTCACTCCTCCTTCCGTCCTGGCAGGGCTGCCACACACAGGTGCCTTTCACTAGCAAAGGACCAGAACCCCACAAGAAGCTGCCTGAGGTGGACGGTGCTGACAAGAGCTGCATTCACCRTGGCACTGGCTCCGACTCAAACCAAACAGGAGGCTGGCTCTGAAGCTGCAGGCAGGATGGAGTCTGAGCAGAGACTGCTGGGGTTGAATGAATTTTCTCCAGCCTCAGCAGCACTACCGATTCTCTAGAAACCACAGAGCATTGCAACTCCCAGCCTGAGACTGCATCAACTGCATACAAGAGCCCTGAGGGAGACCAAAAGGCCYTTCTTGGCTCATTACTACCCTGTGCTCTCTGTGGGGCCAGGAAGCAGCTGGGGAGCCCCATGTGAGGCCTGTTCAGCTATGAGGCTAGTGCAAAGAGAAGAGCCCAGCTTTTGGGGCTGTAAATACCTCACCTGCAGACCCACAGGCATCGTGCTGTTTCCTAGGGGATTCACACAGATAGTTACAGCATTTGGGACTTCCTAGACTAACTTCTCCCTCCAGGTTTTAGGTGGCTGTGTCCTTCTTTGTGCTGCTCTCTCAGCAKTGAAACAGCTTCAGCTAGAAATGAGGGTGTCATTGAGGGTATAGCGTCAACRAGGGTGTAAGAAGGGCATCACACCACCCCTGGGTCATTATATTTAACTCCTACAGCCTATGCACACAAGGGATATASAGGGGTTGTATACAGTGGTGTTAGGATCACCTCTTCCCCAGGCAGTCACAATGTAGACGTTCATATTAATTTCTGCTCCTGAGTGTTTTAAGTTCACAGCTGAGGCCTAAGGCTAAATGACTGCTCCTGCCACAAAGCATTCATCTAAGCCAGAGGAAGGAGAGGATGTTCAGAGACACCCTGCTGCATTTGGAGGGAGAGCTTTGTTGTCTCAACATGTTCCCATGCTGCCCAGAGGAAAGGTGTAAAAGCATTGGTACTGTCTTGAAAGAATGAACAATTTCTGATTCTCCCAGCCCCCAAAGACACGGTACACAGTCACTACCTGTAGCACTGACTTCAGTAAGTCCTTTATTTTTAAATAAGAAATCCCACTGAATCAAAGATAACAAAATTACATTTTGTTTTGCAATGACCTTCATTTTACACCACACAGAAGAACAAAAGCTAAAGAAAAGACACTGTTTCTTATATATTTATATATATAATTTTAAAGGTAATCAGCAGATATAGAAAAATTGCATTGCTAGTTGCAAATCATCTCCCCTGCAGCTGTCAGCTTCAGAGAATCTGACTCAGAACTTTGCAGCTGGGAGGGTCTCTCAGATACAAGCTTTTTCAAGGGCAGCATTTAGAGAYGGTTCCGGAGTATAAGTTTGCAAATTTAAAGTATTTTCCACAGTAAACTGCTGCTTATCAAGAATGCTAGAAATCACTCCGCCTGGTTTAGCACAACTGCAGGAACAACATGAGAAGGGCACAGATCTGGCTTCCTGAGGTGTCCACCTACCTCTTCACCTTGGGGATATTCAGAAAAAGGTCTCTCTTGAAGAGAGGTTGTGCTTTCTTGAGGAAAAAAGAAGTCTCTCGTGATCTACCATTAGGAGTTAYGGACAAGCCAACAAATACTGTGAAAAGAACACATGTTCTGCAGAGAGGTATTCAGTTGGGCTACGTAGTAGGGCTTAGTTATAYCAAATTACAAGTTGTTGGGCTAATCAGTGAAGACTCCCCAGTGTGCAGGAGCTAGCAGAAGGGTCTGCATGCCAGCAGTGCCATGACATTACAGAGATTCTAGAAGGGACTTGTGTTTAATCAAAGCACTGGCCTGACTAGACAGGCAACATGAGCTTGTCATGTATAACAGCAATAAAGGTTGCATGTGCAGAGCCACCTCAGAGGAGCAGGCTCCTTACTGGCATTAAAGTCACCCAGCTCAGGCAGGACCATCCAGTGAGAAGGAAAGACGCACAGGGAACACAGGGCTGGAGTTCAGTATTATTAGACAGACTCAGAAAAGACTGTTCCACATGAGCAAACTCAACCTGATGAATGCTGGCCTGGACTGCAGTGTTTGTCATTAACCAGCAAGATCAAAGATCCMGGTGTTTGAAAAGCAGTAGTTCAGCTCTTCCAGCACAAACTGAAGATCTGACAACTGCTTTGATGCTCTGGTGGCACTTAAACATACTCTCCCAACAACTGAGAAAAACCCAGTCCAAGAACACAACAAGCACACAGAGCAACAGCAGGGGCACACGTGCAAGGCATCTCTTCGGTCTGTGCTGCTTTGACGCATCTTAAGTTCAACAGGAACCCTGAAAGTCTTCACATCGAGAACTAACACTCTTGAAGGACACTTTTGAGCCAAAGTGCCCTGGATACTACCCAATGCACAGACCTGCCAAAGCAACAAGGACTTTGGAAGTATGACTTCAAACCCAGCAGCAGCAAAGTGTTCTTTACAAGAGATGATTTATACAGGCAGCAGAGGGCCAGCGCCTTTTCTGATCTCCTCAAAAAGGTAGTGAAGAACTTCACTAAGCCCCACATAGGCATAATATTTCTAAGAAAARCTTGGAAACAACCCTAATGACTACACTGTTTGGCAATTAACTCCTGAGTTGCCATTCAGATATAGCTATTTACAGAGAATCCACCTCCAGCTATATGTTTGTGTCTTACTCTCTAGCAAGATCTTGGAATTTCAAGGTAAGTTGCCTAGGCAAACATTCCTTCTATGACTCAATCCTTACTGCCAGAGGCAGATTTGAGGAGCAGACAGATGAAAGATGATCCACTACTAATATACCTTAATTTAAACCTTAAAAGAGACTAGCTAGTTGCAGGCTGACCACAAAGGTCCTTTAAGACAGCACACACTTGTACAATTGCATGGTACAGTACATATTCACCAGGGATGTCTCACTCAGTGCTGAGAAATTATTAAAAAGCAAAACTTGAAAGCTCTCACAGAGCTGTTACTGAAGTCTTCAGATATGCTGATGTCAAGGGAGCAGGAAAAAAAGGGCAAGGCACCACTTGTCAAAGCGCTGTGGTCTGGAAGATTGTGATAGACTCGGGAGAGAGGACACAAGGAGCTTGGCTAAAAATCAATACTGAGATACCAGTTCCTACCATCTTTGCTTAATGCCCAGTCTTTGTAACCTTCATTATTACAAACAGGAACTGCAGAAGCAGTGCTGAGAAGACAACTGCAGGGAGGTTCAATTATCTTCACAGTGCAAATATTATTAGATTAATCTGAAAAATCCTTCAACTTAGAAGCTTAAAAAGTGACCATTAAAAGTGCTGGTAGATCTGATGTAATGGAAGTTGCCAATTCCTCAAGTTCAGTAAGAAGCAGCCCAAGCTGTTACCTACAGCCTTCATTTCTCTCCAAAAAGGATGGCTGGCCCAGCCTAACCACCACACAGCTTGAAACCTAATGAGGATTGTCCTTGGGCCTTAGACTTGAGTGCTACTTACATCCAGCAATGGGGAGAGGGTTGGATACCATTAAGTGCTAAAGAGCTCTAATACTTTTTCCAATCCCATTCTGAAACTACATAGAGCTTATGACAGATTTTTCATGCCAAAGTCTTGAAGAGCTGCATTAACAGACTATTGTATGGGTCTGCAAGTGACCACTTCAACAAGCTCACTTGTCTTGCAGAGGGATTAAGAATCAACCACACAGAATACTTCAACTCAAAGCAGTAAAAACTTTGACTCCGTTTGAGATTGTCTTTACTGGCCAAATGGAGGACATCTGTCCACATCACAAGACTAGCATTGCCTTATTTAAGAAGAATATTCCAGATAAGAATTGGAGAAAGTCTCATTCATATTTGAGTATGGGAATTATGGACCAATTGCCAGTCAGTCAGTAGTAAGATTAACAAAATTTCCTTCTCCACAGGTCTTTATGTAGCATGCACTCCAGCTTAGCTTTCAGCCTCACTCATTTCTCAAGTTTTCTTTAGGTGGTTGCAGCTGCTAGTCTTGCTTTAAAAGAGTCAAAAAGGGAGCAAGGGGAAGAAGGACAGTTTTTTCTGTTTACATCTACAAAAAGCTTAAGATGTATTTTASATCCCAAAACACGTGCACAATGCTTAAGCCATGACAAAATCTTTTCCAAACAGGCCACAATTGGTCAAAACAACAGGCAGTTTAAATAGCTGTAGATGTGAGTGCAAAGTGCAAAACCTGCTCAGTGAAACAGATGACCCATGTTTAATATTATTCTCTAGCTGAGTTTCAGAAAACCCATGGCATTGGCACTCTTGAAATATAAAGGCTTGGGTTGTGGGGCAGGGAGTATTCCTCCTAGAAAAATACTATTATTTTAAAGTAGAGTCTACTTGAATAGTCAAAAATAGAGCTCCTGCTGCTCTGTCAGTTCCCTAGCTCTCACCTCATCTTCGAGAAGCTTGCTCAAGAGAGGCCATTTACGGGTCATCTGCTACATGAAGTCAGTCAGACCTAAAGATACAAGGGAGTTTCTTACAGTTAATGAAATGTACATCAGAAGGTACTAAGCAGTCAAGACCTAATCAGTCAAATCTAACCTCCTTTTAAAAAAAGCAAGGAAAGCTCTTCAGAATAGGCTTGCAGAACAGAGCTTTGCTTTACACGCAGCCCTTCCTTCTACAGGTATCCACACGTTTGGTTCTCATTAGTAGCTGTTCCTCTAGAGCTACCTGAAGTTGTTGCTCACCAGAAGGATGTGAAGTACTCCAAAGAGACTCTCTTGCCATGGAAAGGACAGCTTTGTACCTTCAGGACAGGCAGCAGTGGCTTGTGTTACCCACAGTTGTAGAATTTGCTCTGAAAGTTCAAGCAGTTCTGAAGCTGGGATCCCCTGGAGATGAAAACCACATTCCTACATGCTTACGCTGCATCTATTTGATGGGCAGAAGGGTTGCTTACACTGCACCTCTGCTGAAGGAAAGATATAATCTCATCCCATGGATATTACAAACAACTACTTAAGAAAAACTAATTTTCAAATGACAGCTTTTGGTGAAATGCAGATGCAGTATGAATGAGATACTATGATAACAGCACAACTTCATTGCTAGGAATACCCTTGCCAATTGATGCCCTCTTAGAGAGAAAAGGAAACCTGGATGTACTAACAAAGGGAATGTGCAGACAACCACAGTTCATCAAACAGGCCAAGAGACTGGCCTAAGGCAAACTGAAAGGAATTTCCTGATATGATAATGCACTTTTGCTACAATAGTTAGTTATTGCTTTAATAAAACAAAAGCCCCACCACTCCAACCTACTRAAGTTCAGGGACAGGGCAGTCCAGAAGGCTTGTTCCCCTCTGTCACTGCACTGAAGTCTTGCAGTTTGTTTCACCCTTCAGCTATAAACTAAAGGGCCTAGAACACCAAAACAAGGCTAAAGCAATCAAGTGCTGGTTGACGTGGGAAGTATGGCAGGAAAGAGACAAGAAAATTCTTTGAGACTACATCCAGTAATGGAACAAGATTAACACCATYGGTAGAACAAACAGCAAAGCACAGATTTTGATCACAAAGTTGCAGTCTCTAGATGGTACAACTCATGGTACAGCTTCCCTTCCAGGAGAGGCTACTCTTGAATAAACTGTCTTGGCACAGACCGTAACAGCCACTTGAGGGAACAGCACAAAGGAGTAGGCATCTGTCCTGCATCTGTGGTTTCACACTTCACTTTGCACATTAAAGCTTGAAGCAGATGTATGAGTGTGGAAAAAAGTCAAAGGAGGAAGAACTCCTAATGCCTATAGCATTTACATAGATATGAAAGCAGTTAGCCATATGAAAGTACTAATTCAATTGCACAGGGTTAGAGCCATCCCGTTCCATCACTTGGAAGGCAAATCATGTGTCTGAAAACCATTCAATGCTCTGAAAGTTAAGAGGAAGAGGTTTGATACAGCCTACACTAGCATGAAAGGAAGCAAGTCTAAAGAAAAAATAAATTCCTCCCCTACAAGCCCCTATCATCGCACACCAATTCTCTAGGAATTAATTTTCCAATTTGACCCCACAAAAAGATCTTGTAGATTCATTATGGATTTCCATTTGGAAGCCAGAGGCATCTTTAAAAAGCCCTGGGGTCAAACAAAAAAAAAAAAGGCAGATCTAAAAGATACAACTACATTTAAAAGAGACAAATATGATGAGAAGGTGACTGATCTGGTCATTGTGTGAGAAGATGTTTACATAAAGAAGTATTAACTGGTATTACCAACCTGCAGCTTATCTCCACCTGGAGTCCCTGCATAAAAACATCCTAAACCACAGACAGCAGAAGCATGGAAAACTAAGTATCTTTAAACCCACTGACTTTTGGAAGTGCATTCCTAGGAAGTAAAAGACTCCCTTTAGATGGTGCAAGGCTGGAACTCTACTTGCTGTCAAGCATCTGTTCTTGCAGGCTACTTATTAGACCAAACCACTGGCTGTGGCTTGGTACAGCATTCTTCCAGCACTGGGATGGAACAGAACAGAGTTAGAGGGTTGAGTTTGCCTGTCTTCTACACCTAAACAAGWGCTGTAAACATCAAGTTTGACCAGCTGGTGAAGGAATTTGATATCTGAAACTCCTGATACATTTAAAACAMGTTCTTCAGCTTAACAGCTCTGCATCAGGCCACAGTCAGCAACCCAGTTCAAGCAGAACAATAGTTACAAGGCCAAACAACAACATATGGAAAGGTGCTCTGACCAGATATTAACTTCTGCTGTAGCTCCACTTTTCAGAAGGAAACATTGTGATCAAACCCCAGCCCTAGGATATCAAGGAGAATGGAAACCTGAAGCAGCAGGTGAGGGAACAAGTTGTTCCCCAAGGGGAGATATACTGAAGTGATCCAGGGAGTCTTTGGGTCAGTTACTCCTGGCCAGATACAGCCTGCTCTGTGTCTGAGCAGTGAGACTTTGTCTTCTCCCACTGGCAGATGGCATTGGCATATTGCACCACAAGCTTATCCATCCACGTAAGAGGTTCTGGGAAGAGCACAGACCCCTCAAAGAAGCCCAGGTGGCCTCCATGAAGGGGCAGCACATGCATCACATTTTCCCGTTTCTCTGTAAAACAARAGGCACAAAGATGAATAAAGTTAGTATTTTAAAGCTGAGAGCTAAACCATCTTCAGTCAAGATTATCACCTCTATCCTTGCCATAGTATCTGAACCAGGGAAAATCTTGTGGAGCAACAAGAAACACTGGCAAAGACTATGGCCATTGTTAAGCTGCATAACTTCACAGTGTTAACAGGTCAGTCCAATTTTAGTCCACGTTACATGTTAGACCATGGCTGCCCAGCAAACACTACTGGCTGGGCGTCAATCACTAACAACCCACCTTTCTATTAATTCCAAGTGAGGAGTGAGACATGATAAAGCATTTTGTGTGTTAATCAACGCAGCCTCAAGACAGCCCTCGGGTTATCAATCCAAAACAGAAGGTCCCTGGAAGCTCAAAAGCTCCTTCTGCTCCAAGTTAGCCTTACTGATTCTAGTGACTGGTGATTTGGAGAAGCTTAGTGCATCTTTTCAGGATTACAGATGTAAAAGCAAGTCAAGCTGCTTTATAACTATGGCTCATTAAATAAGGAAGCTGTAGATACACAAGCACACATTCCTGGAACTGTTTCATACCTGAAAGAGCTCTTGGAATTGATAGAAGACTCTCATGCACCAGAGGGTCATCAGCAGCATTAACCAACAGGAGAGGAACACAGATCTGCACCAGGAAACATGGCAGAAACATCAAGGCTTTGTTTTAGAATTTTATTTTAACTGTGAAAAATGACTGTTCAACTTGAGTTTACTCAAGCTCCTTATTTCAGGTTTGTTCTGCACTTGGAGAACCATGAGAAAAATGGCAATTAAGACTAGTAGCTCTTCATCAGTGAAGCTGCTGCTCCACAGCAGTTTATTTTTCAGTTTAATTATATGAAAACAGAATACAACAGTACTTTCAGGTCCAGTTACAATTTCCCTGTTCTCAAAACTCAGATACCTACAGTCTTCATTCTACATTATTCCACATGCCAGGCAGCTACTGCCAGCTCTGTTACTGAAGCTCAAACACCAGAAAACTCCTTTGGAATCCCCCATCCTCTGGTTCTGCAAATGGAGGAAGAAACAATCATATTCCATCTTTAACTCTGCAGCATTTCAGTCTGTTATTTACCTTTCAGCTAGTTTGGGGAGATGCCCGTTGCACTATATAGAAAGTCATCCCCCCTTGAAACTGCAAGCTCTATGCTACCACTTGCTTCCTAATTTACACACATAGGCTCGCTCAGCTGAATGTCTGGCTTTATGTAAACTGCCTGGGTGCTTCTACCCAAGTTCCTAAAAATTCAGAGCATTTAACACCAGCATTAGAGGTAAGAATTGAAACTGCAACCCAAAATACTGGAAAATTGTGTTTGGGAATACAATATAGATCCCACTGGCCATCTCCCCTCCAGCACGGCAATGGAAGCACAATAATCTCAACTGCAAGAGCTTACCCTGTGCAAGTACTGTAGGCAGCTTTCCTCTTCATAGTACTCCTTCAGAGAACTGTAGCCATGGAACTTTCTGAAATGGAGACACTGCAGTTATGTTCTTCGTAGCCATTTGATTTCCAAAAGAATCCTACTCCCAAATCAATGATACATGCACAGAATAGTTCTGATGCCTGGATTTTTAGACCAAATACTCTTTCCACTTTCTCTGCCTCTGGAGAATCCATCTTTGGCAGCACRTACCTTCAGGCTTTGCATGCTTACTCAAGCACTGCAATAGTAGTATTTGTTCTGTGGAAGGCAAGTTAAACATGCCAGCTGGAGCCTAGYGGCCTTCAGGGCTTTACAAAGCATCTTTCCTCACTTACTAGTAATTCATACATATGGAAGTTTTTATCATCCTCACCTGAAAGCCTTTCCAGATGTAAAAATGTAAGCTGATGAATCTTAAAAATGGACAAATATGGGCCATTTTGAATTCACTGTAGTTCCAGTTATTCACTGCAGCCTAGATCTCTAGTCTTGTCTCTAAAGAGAAGTTTTCCTTGCCAAGTTTTATTCAATAACACACAGACAGGAGACTCCCATCAGGACAGCTAGAGGCATCCAAGAACAAGGAGGAGGAAGGTACTTTTAGAGAGCTAGAGAGAATCAGAGAAGCTTCCTTCATACCTCATGACGTTATCATCAATCTGCATGAGGGATGTTGCTGTGTAGAGTTTGCTCAGATCYGCATCTGACAGGCTCGGTGGCTTCTTCATGTTGTTATCTCCAAAAAGAACTTGCCTGAAAGTAACAGGAAGGCAGACATCCAGGTACCAGCAAGAGGGCAAAGTCACAACCAGCTCAAGGGAAAACGAGTTTGCCAAATTAGACAAGATAGAAGGGGGCTCTGTAGCCATGAGGCTTTCCTGGGAACAAACAGAGCGCGTCTACCTCCCTCTGCAGCAAAAACAATCAGAAACAGCTGCTTTATGGCAAATATGCTTTCTTAGTTGTACTAAGAAACAGCCTTAGGGACATCTAAAAGCTTCTTTCAGAATGGCCAGTGCTAGGGGTGCTCGGCACACAGGCCTGGTGCTAGGGGGACGGTCCTYTGGCTTCTGACCAAACCTGTGGGTGGCTCAAGCCTTGGGCATAGCATCTCCTTCACCATCTGGTACTAAAGTTTCCCCAGCACAGAGATTAGATGAGCTCATCCTTCAGAAGTTACTTGGGGCATTACCTTAGCAGAAAGCTATTTACTATGGACACTTGTCATAATTAGTTATTGCCCTCAGGAGAGGATGTGTTTTTACCAGAACAAACCACTCCCTTAACAAGTAGAACCAAGGCCACAGCTAGAAAGCAGAGCTTTTACTCCCTTTTAGAAACAGCTGCAAAGCAGAACAGGACTAGATTTGGTTTTGAGGAGCTGCCCTAAGATTTATTACAGAAAAGAGTATTTAGCTCATTCAGTTTCTCCCCTCAAGCCAGCACTGGATTCTTCTGCATTATGACTAAGCACCATTTAGCACAGGGGGATTATGTACTTTCACATTTTAAGTCTGGTCAGGATGTCTTAACTTTTCCAACCTGGAGCAAGTTATATAGATCACCCTACATAATAGACAGTCGCCCTAACTCCTCTGCACATGCTTCACATTATGCAGGACTGTCAGGTTGCTTGCAAACCTGGGAGTTTGCAAGCAACACTAATCAGAATGGGCCACAAAACAGCTATTTTCCCTTCTCTCCACTGGCATCTTCAGGCCTGCACAGATGAGGTACTTACACATTCATYATCTATCCACTTCTTGGGCAATTTTTGCTAGAGGAAACTGAACACTGAGTAAGCCACCTGTTAACACACTCCTCTGGTATGCGAGAGCCACAGATGAGAACAGGAACAGAGGGATACTAAGAACATAGCTGCACTCTAAGAGCCACACTGAATACGCTRCTAGCTAAATGCTCTTTCTAGGTAACAGCTAGAAGCTCAATCTAGGGTTTTACTGCTTATTTGATAAGCAGCAGCCCCATGCAGCAGATCCTCACCTTGATGATTAGGTATGCAGCAGAACAAGAGGCTCCTTGAATAAGGAATTCTTTGGCTAGAAGCGAAACAGATGCTGAATACTCCACTTTGACATTTAATTATTATGTTTTTCTGTGCTTATTCTGTTTACTTATTAAGCAAGCCTCCTTGGAAGACAAAAAACACCAAAGCTTGCTTTCTTCTGGCAGGAGCACCAAGACTTATCTGTATATTGTAACACACACAAGTGAAATTGGGATAAACTGCCCTTAATTAGTTCACTTAAAGATCTTTATGCAAGGAATGTGTACACAAGCTTTCTGTAATTTGATTCTAAAGGGCTAAGAGACAACAAACCCAAAACAGCAATTAACCCAATCAACACTCTCAGTCCAAGTGAACAACTACAGTACCTGTGAGAAAGGATGATCTTTTTCATGTTATCTGCCATGAGGAAGTTGTAAAATCTTCTACATTGATCCCACTGCATGAAGGTTTCCTGGGCCCTAAAAAAGTAAAGATCTTTTTAAAAAAACACAGTAGTATAAGATCTTGGCAGCCTGGAGGCWACATAAACAATCTCTAGGTTTTCCCTGCCATAGTTTAACCTCTTCCAGATAACGGCCTCCACTTTAATGAAGAGTGGTAATAACACAACACACATCTGCAGTCTCATTTTGCACAATGCAATTAAAGGCTCTGCTGATCAAAACAGATAAGAGCCATCAATCAAGATCTGCAACACTGACAAGCGGATTCTGGTATCCTTTGCATAGATTGAATCTAACTTTCCTAATTGGACTATCAAGCAAAGGCCTAAAATTTAAGCCTGTTGCTGAACAAAGTGTTGTCAGTTGTATGAGTTAACCTCACAGAACAAAAGTCAGTGCAGATGTTTCCAGTGTTTACAGACTATCAGCTTCACTGGCAGGAGCTGCAGGAATAAGTTCTAGCTGCAGCTGCAAGTGGTATCTGATTTAAAGCAGAACAGCACTTCACAGCTTATCGGTTGTTAAAACAGAATTAAAGTCATCCAGACTCCTGCAAGCTCTGCCAGATGCAAGGACTTCTTTGCTATGCAGGGTCATGGCCAGGTTATAGCTTTACTCCCAGCAAGGTTTGCTGTTACTGAGGAAACATCCTATCATTTACCAAGCAACCCAGGAATGCTGCTGGGAGCAGGACTGCAGCTACTGAACTGCTCCTGCTTCGCTTCTCAAGGCAAGTTAATATTTAAATGGTGGATTTAACATGACTTCCCAACCCATAACCTGCAAGCTCCCTAGCAGAATATGGAATATATTTTCTTGTAGTAGGTCATGCCAGAACATAGATTTAAGATTTTACCAGACCACCTACTACTTTTACAGTGGAGGAGAAAGAAGGAAGCTGAGAAGCTGCACATTTCCCCCTCCTCCCCCCAAAATACTTTCCAGGCAAACCTTAAGTAATTTCAAGATGACTGAAGTTAAAGCTACTAGACTTGCCCACGAGGGCTTCTAATAGCAAGACTGCAGAATACTGGAAGAAATGCAGCTTATTTTATCTTAAAGCCCAGATTTCCAAACTGGGAAGCCTCCCCACAGCCTGCAGCTATAGTGAAGATGCATTCCACAAGATCACGCAGCAGAACCAAGCCTGTGCAGGCAGAGATTAAGGAACAGAGACCTGTCCCCCATTTAGCCTCAGGAACTAAATTCCCCAAACTGCATGTTAACTGATTAAACCAAGAGCTCCACAAGCTGCTGGCAGATTCTTGTATTGCTGCCACTTTACATCTGTATATGGGATACAGGCTTAAGGCCCTGGAAAGATTTTCATATTTCATTCCATGCTTCATCTTGCCCACCAGCACTTTTCTTCCTTTACTTCCTAAAGGTATTTGGTGGAAAACAGTTCTACAAACCATCATAGAAAAAGAAATAAACTATCATAGACAAAGAAATGCGAGTTCTAAGCTAAGTGGCTATTTCTATTAGGGTAGCCTACACTCATGCAGCCCAGAAGAGGACATTCTAMCTTGCCAGACAGGCTAGAAAGGCTAATGCTTATCCATTCTACATGGCAGTGCTTTGCACGTCCCCTTCTATAACCATGGGCATGAAGTTCTCCCCTGCAGCCCAGCAATACAGGCCAGCTATTTGGCTCAGAACTGCAGGTGAGACTAGGTAAGAGACTGAAATCAGAAAAGCCTTCTCCTCAGAGGCACGGGAGATGCTTTGTGACTGCAGCCTTGCTAGTAGGTATCTACCCAGCAGGTGGAGTCAAGAGCTCAGTAATGGGTGTTCAGTGTCTTCTTGTGCAGAGCAAACTCCAGGAAAGCAGCTCCCAGCCAAACCACAGACAAATCCAAGTCTCATACTGCTAACCAGGTTGTCCTTATGCGATCAATTTATCAGCACATCATGACATTAAAGCAGAGAACAGCATGACTCACATAAAACCTAAACTACAACATTGCATAACGCAATGATGCAACATTTGATGCAACAGAAGATGAATCAAATAGACAAAGTGCAATCTTTGTAAACCCTGGTTGATGGCTGCAAAAACAGTTTCAGGGTCTGGCTTCTAAAGGAGGCTTGTACTCCATGCCAGAACCCCAGAACCATTAAACATATCACTTGGGGGAGGAAAAAAAAATCTTCTTTAAAGCATCTGTTCAATTTTTAAGTGAGGTGAACTCAGACCTAGCAGCAGCCAAGTTAYTTTAGCAGTGAGATTTGAGCTGAAGGCTCAAAATGGACCAGACACTTTAGAATATTACTGAATTGCATAACAAGTTTTAGCCACGTCTTAATGTTTCCAGAAAAGCTGTTCTTACCTGTAAGAGTTTACTCATAGAGGGACTCTTCAAATTGAAGATCAAACTTGTTGCTTTCTAGCTATTMTGTATTAATACATGCTCCAGTCATCTCTAACCACTACACAAGCAGAGCACAGTAATAAGAAAATCCTATACCAGGAAGCTGTGAGGGGGCAAATTTCCCAGCCAGCCTCCTGCAGAGCTGCCAGTTTCACCATCTTCACCTTCCTGTAAGATCCTGGTCTCAACAGGCTTTCAGATTAGAAATATTCAATGCTTAGAAATGCAGTGAAGCTGCAGCACCAGCTAAGCTCCAGTAGTTGCCCACATGGGCAGTAATAGCTGGAAGCACTAGCCTAGTGGGTTACTGTTTTAATCTTCATTAACTACGCATGCAAGGAAAGTTATTACACACAGTTGAGCAGCCAGAAGTGCCACAGCCAGATCCTGTCAAGCACACTGAGGTAACTAGCACTAGGTGGAGCTCTTAAAGCTCTTCTGAAGTGCTCTAGACTTGGTTTCCAAGACTAAGAGCTTACACAGCCTTAGGGCTATAAGACTTCTCCCCACCTTCCAAATCTCAGGTCCACAGCACTATTGCAAGYGTCTCTCCATCCACTTGTGAGCCCAGAGCACTGTCTCTGTGCTACAGAAACGAAGAGGAGCACTGAGTGTTAGCATGAGCTCTGTAGCTCTTTCCAGCCTCCTGAGCTGTGAGTTGCCAAATGACACCACACACCAAAGGCAGAAAAGCTCCACTAGGAACCTAGGGAGAGTTCTCAGACCAAGGAGACAGTGCCGGCTACTGCTTTCCAAAGGGGCATCAGCTCAGTGGTTTTTCATGCTGTCAAATCTGCCAGATTTGCTGCACCAAGACTGCATAAGTCTTCTCAGAGCCCCTGAGCAATCCTACCCTGCAYGAAGTTATGCCAAATCACACATGCAGAAAAGCAGCTGAGAGCATTTGCCTGCTCAGAAGTATTTATTATTGATAGAAAGCTTTTGAGCCACTGAATCAAAGCTTTAGCTGCTCATGCAGCAAGGTGGCACTCAGCAGCCTACTCAGTGCTGCTTCTCTTGCACACAGCTTTTCCCCCAGCACATACTCCAAAGCCTTCCCCATCCTCTACATCCACCAAAAGCAACCATAGAGGAAAACCTCTCAACTCACCTCAGTGCACTGTATCCTTGGCACACACTGACACAGCACAGCACTCTCTCCTGGTTGGCCTGGGACTCTCCAAGGTATTTGCACACAATATTTCCACCCAGGCTGAAACCCACTACAACCAGCTGGGTCTGAGGGTAGGTCTTCTTGATGTAATTGACCATGGCACCAAATTCCCAGGTACAACCTAAAATTAAGAACAATGTCAAGAATAATCYTCTAACAGTCCTACATTCATACCTCAAGCTTCAATTGTGTGCTTTAAGCTTTACCTTCTTACCATCTTTGACTTAAATACCCTCAAAGCCTTAAGATCCAATTTTCATGTGTTCAGGGCTGCTTCTGACACTGCTAAAGAGATGAAGCTCCCCACTTCATCAGGAACAGTCCGTTTGACAAAGCAAACTCTTCCTCCCTAAAGGCTTTGCAAAGCAGAGTCAAAGGACTCCAGGCTTGGCATTGCTACTTACTGAACATAATATATTACCTTCCTGAGGCGGTCAGCCAGTTCTGCATACGAGCAGGGGTTCCTGAATGCTCTTTGCCTTCAACAAGACTGCCAAGGACCCTCATATCCACATGGGTCAGGGGACAGTGCTCAGGGGGCTGTTATAGAGTGATGAGGCAGCTTCCCTCCAGAATAAGATGGGAAGGATTTAGCAAGCATACTCTGTCTCCTACACAAAGAGCCCCATCTGCTCAGGCTCTTGCCTGGCACTCCATTTGGCAGAGTCACTTAAGTTATTTACTGGCCAGCTCCAAGGAAGTGCTAGGCATTCCTTGCCCTTTGCCAAGGGCTGTAAAAGACTCAGGGGCACATCTTCAGAGCTGCACTGCAAAATAACTAGAGATCTAAAGCAAAGATCTTAAGTTAATAAGTCTGCCATAAGCTTCAKCAAACTTCCAAAAATCTAGTCTAGACTTTTGGCATTTGCCCCTAACTACAGAAAGGTTACAAATACTGTCTGGATTTCAAAACTGAGTGTACAAAGCTACAGCAGATATTGTCTGTGGTAATTCTCTTCCCCACCTGTTATTACCTGTCCCAGTTCTTATCATTGAAGAGTTTAGACAAGAGCACTATTTTTGGTGTTAGCCTAGCACCACGGACCACAGGCTTCAAAGATCAACTAGTGACTTTGAGGTAGTATTCACAGGTTAGGCATCACTTTTGGAAGACAGCTCAAGATCTTAAGAGAAAGGCAGATTCTTTCAGGCAGTTAAAACTGGTTCAAGACAAAAGCTCAGAGTCACTGACAATCTAGAACTCCATGACAGACTGAGGCACTCTGCATGCCTGGAGTGTTTTCCTATTCACAAGGAGTTCATAACTGTAAAACAAGTAACAAAGCAGTACTGGCTACTTGCCTACCAGACCTAGCCTCTCAAAGCATAATACACTTCTACAGCAACTCAACTGTTAAGAGCTGCTAACCAAGATACTTAGGAGTTTATCTGTTCCCAGAGAGAAACCTAACAGCAGTCTGCTGAACTGAGACCTCTGACACAATGTACTTTCACGCTTGCAATGGGAAGGGACAGAAAGGCTAAAAAGAACCCAGCAACAAGTAGATAAGGTCTYGGGCAGCAAGGTCACTTTCTTTTCTAAGATGTAACAATCTCAGCAGCAGGTAATAGCTGGTGGCACTCAACATGGCACTGAATACAGTGGTGAGCTAGCATAACTCAGGATAGCTGTTAAGTTTTTATTCTTATCATCTAGGTTAAAAAAAGAAAARCACTTTATATTCAAGGTAAAAAGACAAAATCATTGCAGTTAAACACTACTTCCACAGTATGACACTGAAGCTACAGAATTGCTGCCTTCCTTTTTTACATGCAAGGACAACTCTGTCTTCATGAGTTCCTCCCAGGATGGCAYCTTTTGGGAAGCCCAGCATCATCTCTTCCCATACTCTGTGTTTTACCTGGCTCAAAAGTAGCATTTATGCTGCAGAGCTAGAAGAATCATCTTCTTGATTAGGATATCAAAGAGATAGAGCTGGAACAAGCAAGGAGGGAAACTGAATCCTACTAATAGTCTCCTCCTCTTTTCATATGCAGCTTTTAAATTCAGTTATTGAACAATACAACATGACCAGACCTTTCACCTGCCATATCCATTTCAGCAAGCCCTAGAAACAGGAAACAAAGTCATAAGCTGCCATTAGGTACCTACCATATGTGAACATCCGTGGAGAAGTCAGCTCAATATTTGGTAGGGCTCCSAGGTGATTCAGAACAGCACATCTGTAACCATTTTTTTGCGCATAGTCAACAAAAGTGCGGATATACTGCTTCTCACTGTGGTTGGCAATGCCAGGGCAGATCACCATTGTGACATCCTCTGCGAGCAGAAAAAGAAGGGAAGATAAGTAAATGTCACTTCATGCAAATGCAGAGATTCAGGAGCTTTTATTTCAGATCCATGGGAAACCATGTACCACAAGAAAGCTGAAGTCCTACTACGCTGCCAAAGCAGTCTGATAGGAGACAAGAGATTAGTAGCTATTGCRCTGAAGATGTGGAAGTGTAACTTATGCTATAGGAGATGGACAGAATTTAACTTAAAAGCTGCCCAAACAGTTTTACAGGTGCTGCCTAGAGACAAGACAGTTCTGCCACATTATTCTTCAAACAAACATTTGACTTTACACAGTCTGTTTCTGACAGGCTACTGTGACTACAAGTTTCAGAACCTGCTTCTCATCCAAAATGAGACTAAACTACTTCATCATTCCTTTTCCACATTTCTGAGAGACCAAATTCTTAACACTAAGCTTTGCTAAGTGCAGAAACAGAGTTGTCAGCTTCTGCTTCATGGCKTTATTGGTGTTTGACCTGACAGTGTTTAATTATACTTTTTTAAAACATAAKTTTTTAAGCACAGTAAATCAAGTCCAGGATGAATATACAGACTTCCAGCCTGCATACTCCTTGCACTTTGCTTACTAGCAGCTCTAGCTACTGCGAATTTTTGCCTCATTAGAAAAGCACTGTTCAGAATCGCTTCAGTAACACAGATAACACTAACTGTTACTATACAACACTACCATAAGGATCTCAGCTCTCACATGATTAAAAAAGAACCTGGCCTTTTCTGAAGGCCAAACTAGAGCCATAAGCTTACCATTAAATAAGCTACTGCAAAGGGAAATTGTACTTCTGAAGTCAAGTCACAGTAACTTTAAGGCCTGTTACTACTAGTAACAGCTGACACCCACTCTGAAGCTACATACCCAGTGAACTGAGGAACCATCAAGCATTTTTTACTTTTTAAGTAGAATTTTCCAAGTTCGGACTCTCACTCCCTGTGTACATAATTTCATTTCATGCAGATCTTGAAACAGCTCCTACGATCATGCTGCAAATAAAGACTGGCAAAAATCTGTCTAAGGGTGAGCAAAAGTTCTGCTCTTTTTCTACTCTAAACACATCAAAGTTATGAATGACCAATTATTAGTGGTTGCTCTATGATCCTGGATTTAGCAGGTAAAGGACACATCAAAYGCAAGTCCTGCCAACTTCTCTGCCAGACTCTCACTTGGGCCACAAGTTATGAAACATTATCTGTTCTGCAACCCTGTCCCTCCCACCTTTCCACCTAAGGTTAATTGGTCCAGCAGGGCCTYTCCTGATGTCTGGGATGGTCCTGTAGCCTCCACTTGCAGGCTAACAGTGCTTAGCAGTCCCCTTCCCATCTCCAGATGGAATATCTACCCTTTTCTGATGGATCATGTAGCACTTGTCCTTGCCCATCTCCTCCTACCCTTGAGCAGAGTCAAGTCTTGCAGGTTGGTGGAGCAGGTAGCTATTCAACTGACCTCCAATGCAGTGCTCAGCCTGGGGCTCAAAGAGATCAAAGGTGGCTGTTGCTCCATCCGGCATCGTGAGGTACTTGCGAAGTCCGTATGGATGCGGYGATCTCACTCTCCCCATCTTCCCATATAGGGCAGTCTGGATGTGTCCACTCTTTCCCCAGATGAGGGGTGGAATGTATCTGAAAGAGGCAGCAATTTAGTTGAGTATCCCTGTGACACTACTGAGAACTTAAGAACAGTTACACAACCCTGTAACAGGACTCCCCCCTCAGCACCACTCTGCAAGAACAGTTTCTTTTTCCATTTTATGTCCAAATTGGCAGCACTGATCTCTGCAGCCTTACCAAACAGATGGCACAGATAAGCTCTCAAAGCAGAGAAATCGGGGTGGACAACAAAGGAAGGCTAAAGTTCAGGAATTCTTGGATAATGAAGTGTTACATGCACAAATGCTTCCCACAGAACAGCAAAATGCCTCGTATCTTAAGACTGGGACCACATGTTGCTAGCCAACCAGACTGACCTTCAAAACTTGTCAGATGCTATAAATCTGTTTTAATTGAAATATTGAAGCCTGCTGGGTTGAACTATAGAAACTCATATAAGCACTTGACTACATAAGTCGGGCAGAAACTGTACGGGATTCAACCCAAGTCTTAGACTCTGAGAAGCCACACATCATGCCAGTTAGGTCTGTTCGTGTAACTACCTCTCAGTGAAGCGAGCAGTATGGGACTGAACAATTTTGCTTTTCAAGCAGAGAGTAAAGAGAGCTGGAAAAGATCCTATAAAATTTGCTCCACTGAACAGCAAACTCCTTTCAAACTAAGAGGGAGACTCCACTAGTTCTATTTGTCAAGGACATATTGATGTTAGGTCACAAGCAGACTCTTCTCCCCCTCAGGACAAAGTGGGAGAGAAAACAGTTGTTATCTGGAAGGGTTAAGAGCTTGGCTATACATTTTGTTAGTACATCTGCCAGAGGGTTTAACTGGAGGCTTGCTGCTGCCCAGCTGTTGGTGGGACAGTCACCTGGCCACTTTGAGCAGACCAACTAAATAAATGACCTAAAAGAGATGGTTACAGCAGCTGTCAACACCAAAGCAAGGATGATTCATTATTTAGGAGAAAAGGAGCCCCAGGGGACATGCTTCCAATTAAGGAACTGTGTTCTCTACTACATGAAGCACGTTATCCACAGCAAACAGAGCTGTTGACACYGCCTCGGAACCCAAGAGGTTTGCACCTCCCTCCTTTTTCCCTTTTTTTTAGGGCTTCCTGACATTATTTTCTTTTATTACTTCAGACCATATGAAGCAGAGATTGTTTGTTCCCATTTTCCCTGTTTATTGGAAAACAGACAGTTTGACTTAAGCCCATAATCCACTAGAACATGACTGGACAGGAATCTTGCCTTTATGCTCTGACATTCTTCGTCCTCATGTCAGCATCATGCACCATCTCTGCAACTTGCTGTTTCCACATATTCCTTAAAAAAGGACCTCCTTTAAGGCAGAAAGTGCCAACATTCTAGGTTGGGCAAATCTATACAGGGCAAAGCTAGACCAAAGCCTTTAAACATGTGGGTATATTTACGTTACAAGACAGAAGGGCTGATCCTATAGTAAGATGACATCTTGCATTAAGAAAATAGTTCTAGTTCAAGCATGATATTACTATTTTACACTAGTAACATTCAGTCTCTTGTATCTCCGAAACAGAGGCAGCGAGAGAGGGGGGCTTCTTTAGGAAAGGGTAAGTTTGGAGTGTTACAAGGCTTCAATAAGTTGGATGTTTTGCAATTTGTCCTAAGATATCTCCCCTTAATTAGCTGCAGACAAGCATGTCTGCCTACTAGGACAGCATGGGGTACAAGGAACAAAGAGGGGGTGAAAATGAGTTCTTCAAATTGCCTTCAACAACTGATTAAAGTTACCTGATGAMCTGATCTTCATGACCTTATACCATTCTACATAGCTAAACAGAACAAGCTGTTTCATTGMCTTATGCTTCTGGGACAGAAAAGATTTAAAAGTCAGGAATCCCTATGACTCCACCCATAATGATGGACAGAGGCTGCCTATGGATTTCAAATTCCCCACTGGAAAGCTGGGATCATGTAAAGCCCTATGAACAAGGCTGCATTCACTATTTCCTCCCTTCAGTGTTTACAAGCTAGTTTGAGCATTCCCTAGAGTAAGAAAAATGCTCAGCTTAAATGACTGGAGTCAGCTGAAAGGACAAGCATTCATTCTGCACCAAAACTCTGGATGAGCATCCAAAGGTCATGGGTATCCAGCATGAGTCATGTACACAGGACAGTACTGATAGATTTATTATTCCCACATGAATCAAGGTTTGCTTTTGCAGTTTGTACTTGCAGCTATCAAGCTCCCAAATACTTCAGAGCCTAGGTTCAAGTAAGAGTTGGATACAATTAAATCATTCAATTCTATTTTGGCACGTTGGTCACACCAGTGGAAGATGATCACAAAACTCCAGGAATCCTACCTGATACATGCTGCAAGTAACAARAAGTTACCAACAATAGTATTATCAGGCGTGTGTTATTTACTGTTCCTTAAGAAACCCAGAGGAATGGCATTATCTTGGCTGCAGCTGGTTTGAAAACTTGGACCCTGAGAGAAGTCTGTTCTTCAGAAGGTCAACAGCTTATCTAGGAATGCAGCAGCCTCTTGATATCAAGTTTCAGGATGATAGAAAGTAAAAGAATTTGCTTCTCTGGAAACAAGTAAAGGTATCAGGTGTAACTAAACTTTTAATTCATACACAATAAGCTTAAGCCATTTGAAGAGGTTTTCCTTTGGGACACACATTACTGACAAAGAACACAACAAGGTAGAAGTCATTTCTGCTTCACATTATAATCCAGAAATCTCAGACCCGCAGACACCATATTTTCAAGCAACATAATATTGCAAAGCAGAAGTCACACCAGTGATCATGAACACAAACAGAAAGCAGCAACTGTTCCTGCCTCAACTTTCTTGTTACCATCAGAGAACAGAGCTAAGCCAAAGCTCATCCAGGTCAGCTACATCATTTTGGTAGTTCGACCACTTTAGTCACATAAAGAGTTTTAAACTGCCCATTTTATTCCTAAAATAKATATTAGATTATGAGATAACAGAAGTTAGCCATAAATTCTAGTCTTGCTTCAAGAATTTCAGCAGGTAAACAAATCAAGCACTTAACCTATGGCAAAGACTTAGCAGCTATTCAAATAGATACTGTGATACAGATCATTTTATGCTAAAGCTGCACAGTATTTAGCTTGATAGTAATAAAACAGTATCTCAGTAGCAAAACACCACAGTAAACACTGTTCCCAGCTGATAGTAAAGTTCACTTTACCAAGCTTTCCTACTAGTTATACTAGGATTGAGTGCCATGATCCATCTGTTAGAAGCCACTTACAGCAAGACTAAAGACAGATGTGCACGTTGTTAAAACAGCATTAAACAAAACAGTGTCTCTACCTCTGGTAGAAAGGAGCTCACTAGAACTTCCAGGACCAAGTCCTAAGCACTGCAGTACAAGACTGTGGGACGGCAGAGGACAAGATACACACAATCTAGCACTTGTGGCCTTTCAGCTTGCTTTTAACACCATACAGAAAGACATGAAAAGAAAAAAAAAACCTTCCATAATAAAGATGCTWGATACCACATTGGTGGGAAAAAAAGTTAGCCAAAAATTATAAAAGTTTCTACCCTGTAAAAGCACATATCACTGAAGCTGCTTTTCTTCACTTACGTCATACTCCATGAAAAACTAGTCCTGGAGACATTTTGGACTCAACCCAGCTGACAAACCCAAGTATGCAGTTACTTCAGTGCTGATAGCTATGGCTTTAGCACAGATTGCTTTGCAATAAAGGCACCATTCCTGGCAAGGAGCTGAAAAAGATGCTCCCCTTAAACAAAACCTGCAGRCAAAAGGGCCTATATCCAGCCTCTTTTCTTCTTTAAGGTAAGGTCTAAGAAAATAAGCTCAGCAGGGAGTGACATATGGAAAATGAGGTAGACACCACGCAGGCCAGACTCTTAAAGACAAACAACCGAGTATTTAGTTTAAGGCATATTTAAACATTACCCTTTAAGATTTTATGCAAAGGGCCACTCCTGTCAAGTTTAACTTTAGCCAGCTGTTCTAACAAGCRGCCCTTCACTTACAGAGGGAGGCAGCTTCCCTTAGGCACTGAGCTTCAGTAGAAACARAACAGTATTCAAGGACATTGCAGCCCCTTCTTCAGCTTTCCTGCAAAGCCTGATATAAACCAAGACACTTCTGAAGAGACTCCCATAGAGCTCACCCCAAGGCAACAGGTTTCACTCCATGGAGAGGTTTCCTTGCTACTCTGCAAGAGCCATTGACGATTCCAGCAGCTGGAAAAGGAAGCAGGAGTAGCCAGGGAGGTGGTAGAGAGCAGTCACCAAGCTCCAGCTCAAGAGGCAGCATCTCTGTGCCACACAAGCAGGAGGGCCATGCAGTCCTGGCACAGAGACATTCCAGTACTGATAGGTGGGAGATCTAAGGCAAGATTGTTGTACTGGATATAGAAATCTTGGGTTTCTGTGGGGGGAAAAGCGCTTCAGTCTGCTCTAGAAAGAGGCCTGCAACTGAACTTAACAAAACGTTTTCCCTGTTTTGATTAGTCAGAATACCTGGCAGCTCTGACCMAACGCCAGATATTTGAGGGCCAGCCCCGTAACTTTATCTGCTCCATGTATTGCAGTAACTGAATGCTATGACTAAGTCAGGGAACAAGTGTGAGGCTGCCAGATACTTAATCTGGCAACTGACTTGTGACATTCTGCAAGTAGAGCTCAGATAACTGCTATGAAATGGCTATGTGAATTCAGGCTGTTACACTGATAGGCTCACAAACGCTACAGTTTTAGCCCTAATGTTCAGTGTTAGCTATATAACCCAATCTCACATCTTGATAGGTGATAATTCATAACACTCCATGAAAATAAGCATTTCTAGGTGTACAAATATTGTCCTAAATTTACATCAAGGAACAACGCCAACAGATGCTCATAGATTATATTTTAGTGGCCAGACAGATTATGATTTCAGAGCACGTACATCACCCAGTATATAAGACTTTAGAAAAGCAACAGCTGTACAAGCAGCTCAAAGCACACGAAAACTGTGCTATTTTTATTACCAAGCATCAACATTTTGTTCCTCAAACATCTGAAGTGGAAGTCTAGCACTAGGCTTATATTTGGGGCTTTATTTCATTTCATCTGAGATTAACACTTTCAACATCAACTCCTACATCATCTTTAATGTGCTGTTGTGCATTGGATAAAGAAGCAGGAGCCTAGAATTTGCCCAAGTCAGGACACATGCTGAAAACTGCTCCCTGCATGACAATAGGTAGCTTTTACAAATAAATCTAAAGGTATTCCAGGGGAAGTTAATACACAACAGTTATTTGATACTGAGAAACTAGATTTCATCTCAGTCAAGAAAGCTCATCTAAAAGCCAGAATTCAGCCCCAAGAGTGCAGGATAGAGTTTTTRTGCATTAGCTCAGCTCTAATGTCAGATGTGATGCAGGACACTGCACATATGCAATAGTCAACTTTAAGCAATTTTGACAGCTTATCTTGCTTTTTTAAAAAGTTATGGGAAAATAAGTGCAGTGTTTTTAACATCTCTAGCCTTCAGCAATTACGAAGTGTTCCAGTCAAAACAGCGGCTGGTTATTACAGCCTGTTGTCCTTGGGGAGAGCTTCAGAAGGCAAAACTGCTACCAATGACACAGCTGAACACACCAAAAGGACCTGAGCATCTTAAGGCTGCTTCCTTCCCTGGGGTCAGGGCTCCAATTTACAGCAAGCTGCTATTTTTCTACCTCTTAAAGTGTTCATGTGGCAAAGCTTCAAAATACTGTACTTTGTTTTATTCTGTCCAGTATAAAACACTGAGGAGTTGGTAGGAATCAAACATTTGATCATTAGGTGGAAGAAAAGACTATTAAAGAGATGGAAAACAGCTTTTCTGGTGGCTTTTCTCCTATCATCTACAGAGAAAATGACACTTAAGAGTATTCTGGTACAAGGCAGCTTACTTATCTGCATAAGTCACTGTGCAAACAAAGGATAAGAAAGATCTAGGCAGGATCTTTAACAGCATTTACTAAGAGGCTCAACAACTACTTGCTTCAGCCTTTGCAGAGCTTGCAATTGATAAGCAGGAGGCAACCCTAACCATTTCCCAGAGCCCTAAACATCAGGCTAATTAAAAATAAGGATAAATACACTTGGCAGAAAAAATTGGGAATAGRCAAAAAAAGTAGCCCGGCACAGTAAATACTGGTCGGCACTATTTTGGAGTCAAGGGACAAATGCTGCATTTCTACAGGAACAGGAGAACAGCAGCAGGAGTTCTGTACTCGCTTGGAAGATGGAAAAGGAGGCAGCTGCAGGCAGTGGGTAGGCAAGAGTGGACACAAATACCAATGGTCACGTGGACTGCTCAGCTTCCAAGCAAGCATTTCTTTAAACATCAAAACAGGATCAATTATTCTAATCTACCTGGTAAGCCAAAGAACCAAACRCACAATTGTAGAAGAAAAATAAAGATGTAAATAAACATGAACTCTAGGCAGGCAGATTTTCTTGTTCAGTATTTGATTAAATAACTGTTCTATTTTTTTTACTTAGAATTAAAAGCAGCACTAACACTGAGGTATCTRGCATGCAGTCATCTCGTGCAGCTTTATCACCCCAAGTTCTTTATCTACCATTTAGCTTTGTTCATTAAGAAGAGTTCACCATTTGTTCAATAAATCCACAGCTAAAAGTGCACAGTGGRGAAAGTAGAGAAAACTAATGTACTCAGGGAATACAGGGGCAAGTGGCAGGTCTAGCTCAACTAAAATAAACACCAAAAAACTAGGGGAGATTCAATAATTTTTACACCTCAGTCTGCTTGAAAAGTCTTTGCTCCCTCTTGATGTAAGGGAGTAAATTTATAACTTAAAGGTTGACAGGTAAACTATGAACCAGGCTTTAGACACCCTTTTAGGACATTTTTAATAGCTGCACAGTTAAGTGGCTTCAGTCATTTCTGCTCTTCCTGCCACCCCAGCTTTTCAGCATTAAGCTACTGCCAAGGGGGTGACCAGATTCTTCCCCTTTCTCCCTTGAGGATAAAGGAACTGAACAGACCAGGTCTGAAAAAAACCCAGATGCACAGAGGAATCAGCAGGAGATCTCAAACCCAGGACAGATATGACAGGAAGGACTGCTGGGATACTTATTTGGTATTCATGCTCGAGTTTGAAAAGAGCTGCTTAATCAGCTTCCTTAACACTCAGAACAATTAGGAAGTAATCAAAGCCTTGTAAGCTTTTCAGTGGCGTATGGCACAAGCTGTCTCCAGCTAATTAGTCCTGCAAACTATTCCATGCATAATTGCAAATTTTAGATACACTTGTTCCCTACTAGACATGAGAGTCACCTGGAAGCTGAGACAATTTCTTTGATTTCTTTAATGTCTATATTGAAGCATCACAGATATTTTTAAATAAGACAGCCAAGTCATACAAATCATATTAGAACAAAGTTCTCTTTCCTGCAAACACTTCAGACATCACAGCAATTATATTTTGCTCTCCAGGTAATGAGATTTGGCAATTATCTACTGACACATTTTATTCTAGCTACTTTGCTCAGTTGTGTTTGTTTCCTGTAGTCACTGAAGCTTTCAATTAGTGTTCTGCCCAAGGACCATGCTGGAAATTGCTGCTAGTTTTCAAACAAGCCTGAACTCTGACTTGATCAAGACAGAGCAGTCAGTCCAAGACTGCACACAGCACCACCACTATAGTTCTCCAAGCAGTTGTCTTCTGCARTTAGTGCTCAAATGTGTTTTAATTTTCAGACTTTTTATTCTTTTAGGTAGCTTTTCTCCCCAACTGTGTGACAATTCAAAATATGGCTCTAATACAGTAATGTCGGGACTGTGACTACTAAGAGCAGGGATGAAATTCAAGGAAACTCACAGCCCGTGCTCAAGTCAGTCCATCCAGTCTCCCAGGGCAATCTGAGATCAACATGTCTTCAAGAGCCAGTTAAGCTTCATGCTTGTCTGCTCACTGACTGAGCTGGAACATCAGCACTGAGGTGACAAGTAGCTAAGACACCAAGCTARGACTGGAACCTCCTCAAGTGTTTTTAGGGAAGCAACTGCTTTGCAGTTAATGCGCTATCCATAATTTAGATCCAATTTTAACACCCAGTTTTTGCACAGACTTATATTACCACCATACTGTTCATTCATCRGGTAGCTTTCTTTGAAATTTGCTTTAAAAGGAATAATGTTTTGTTCCTTCTAATTGTTTAGGAACATAATGGCTTAAGATTTACATTTACATAACCAAAGCACCTAACATAATACTGCTAAAAGCCTCCCATCTTCACGAGAATGACTAGCATTGTCAGCTCCATTTTTAAACTTTTGAGATCCAAAAAGAAGCTTTATTTGATAGCACTCAGAGCTTACTAGATAATGGACTTATTCAGGGCTTTCAAACACAACTTACAAGCCTCAGGTGATTGCAAGMGAAATACTGTAAGAGTCCTCTAAAAGCCACATTTAATTGAAATAAATGCTTCATACTATTAGGGAAACTAAAGGGCAGCTACACTGAATCTGGAGGACCAGGCAGCTCAAATAAGTCAGCCTTAAACTTGCTGTTACACAGGCAACCTTAAGTGCTTTTTTTCCACCTCCCTCCTCTTACAACTGGCTAGGATATCATTACTTTAAGCTAGCTGTGAAATCTATTATTGATAGAGTACATTATCACTASTCTAACAACTTAAGGCACTTAAAAATAGGTACTTGAAAACTAATAGCTACCCCCATGTCCATTAGCAATACATGAAATGTGTGCTCCCTGTGAGCCCCAATAGATTTCCTCCCTCCTGGAAGAGGGCATGGGATCAGGAACAAGTGCCAATTGCATTTCTCCCTCCCCATTTCTACAGATAGTGCTGGAGAATACAGTCCATCAATATCAGCATACAGATCCTAATCACTAGAAGCAAGCTCCTGAGGGACTGGTACAGTTTACCATGCACCCATACACAATCCTGCACAAGGCTTAATCCTATCTMATCAGGTACCTGTGACACTACCAATAAGATGACTAAATACATCGGTTTAAGTTTGGAACATCATCTTCTCAAAACAATCCTGCACCATTCATCGCATCTGCGCCCAGGTTTAAGGAACACACTAGGCAGAAAGATCCGGAGCTCTTCTCCCCAACAAGGCAACAGGCTGGAGGCACTACTCACTCTTTGGTCAGAAGTGGGCAGGATTTCAGCAGGAAGCGGGAGAGAGCAGAGTCCTGGTAGAYGAGCTCCGGAGGGGCAGTCGGGCTCTTCAAGTTCAGGCAGCGAACAATAACATACAGAACAGCAGCAACTGCAGCCAGCTTCACCCCATCAAACACTGCTGGCAGCTCAGGCGTTTCCGACAGGGCTGTCATCTTGAACCTGAAGATTAAAAACATAGAGCCTTTTGCAATAGGCTGAGCATGGATGTCAATCACCAGGTTAAACAAAAGTGATGCTAACCACATTAAGCTGTCTGTTAACAGAACTCATATCATCAGATACCAGTTAACTTTAAAGCAGTATAAAATACACTCCCTTTTAAAGACCTGTCACAAAATATAAAGACTGGATTACCAGTTGTACAGAGTTATTTCTAACCAGCACAGAACTAAAATTGCAGCAGTGCCTCGGGTATCAAATCCTACAGCTGCAGACCAGTCACTCTTTGCCAGGATCCTCAAGTGTCTAAAACATAAGATGAGTGAAAAGTTAGGCTATCAGGCAACATTAGCAGCTTTAGATGTACTTCTTCACAGATGTACAAGCCAAGCTTCAAAGGGGAAAMCAATTACTGTATTATTTCCTTAGTAGGACTTCCATAATTCAGTGAGAATATCCATACTAACTTCTGTAGTTACTACAAGGCAGTCRCTGGTATATTTTAATTAAAAATCATTCCGTAGCTAAAGAACTAATATTAAAATCCAACCCTTTGAGGGCTTCAGAGTAAAGGAGGAGAAAAAAAATCACACAAAACTGAAACATCCTTCCACTTTGAAAGCAATTTCATGAACTGACGCAGCTTCTTTTGAACTAACAGATGGTTCAAGTAACTGGCTACTATTATCCCAGAGATGATTTATCTCTAATGAAGGGCCAGGTTTTCCCCTTCATGTTAGCAGTTCAACCACCTGAGTAGCCTGAATTAGACAGTCATGGACAAAGTCTCACCAGTGTCACTTTCTTCAAGCTCGAAGCAACTGGAAAGCCTCCGTAGATGCAACTTCTGCTGCCTGGCTCCACCTGTAAGCCAAGGAACCCTAGGGGTGGGAGAAGAGAGAGAAATCAATTAATATTGATAAAGCTGTATCGCTATCGGAAGACACAGATTTATGCAGAGGTCCTATCACAGATATCTTGATTCATGCATCCAGTCAGAGCTACTTCCACATTTTCATATACTTGCATCACAAACCTCTTGCTTCCTGATGAGGTCAGGTGCTTTCACCACACTAGTCCTCAGAGGCAGCAGGCAGATCTCATCACAACAAGAGTGACACAGAAAGCGGTTCCAGGAAGCGGTGCAACTGCAGAGGCAGCGGCTGCAGGCTGCCCGAGCAGGGCTCTGGACCCCACGGACACACGGKCAGCATCTTAGCAAGCTATTAAACCCATCCCCAGTTACAAGAGGCAGACCGAGTCTCTTAGCACCTGAGAGAAGAGGTGATGGGCTACTGCTCTCCCAACTGTGAGATATCTAAGCTGTTGCTGCAGTGCTAAATCAGACTGAAAGAAGTTTCCTGTTACTTTCACATAGGAGAAGGAAGTGTCACTTTTACAGGCAGAAACCAAGCAGAGACTGTTTACAAGGTTCTACCCTTACATCAAGAAGGTGTAACATATCACACGTCAGGATGACAGCCACCAGGAGGCTCAGATACAGTCACTTAACTAGTACTTGTGCACATRTTCTAAGGCTCATTACAAAAATTTGATAGTGCCAATGAAAGGGATAGAGCTTGAAGGCGGCAACTAAAATGTAAGATGTTYACAATTAGCATTTCTGATCCCCTTCAGGCACCGTAAATAAAACTGGAATCAGAGCTTGCARGGAAGAAACTTCAGAGCTTTCTGCTCCTCTGAGGCTACTTTCTCCAACTCGGGAAATAAGTCAGAGAGGCCACGCAAAAGCCTTAGTCTTCTGCCAAGGATGAGGAAGCCTCTGAGGTCCCGCCTGTTCTCAGTTACCCCAAAACCTGTTAGAAAACAAGAAAACAAGCCTGACACCACATATTGATTAACAGCATCTTGGAAGGCAAGACACTGGTGTCACCACAACTCTCGGTATTGTGGAACAGAAGTGAAGAAAGCAGAGACATTTCACCCTGGAGAATTATAAAGCTTATTTGCCAATTCTGAGCTTCACAGGAAAAAAAGAGTGAGGCTAGAGAACATATACTTATAATTCTAATCAAAGGATCAACTTAGACCAGAATCCTAATAATATATTATTCTACTATAACGTTATTTCATTTTCACACTTAGAACTGCTTTACCAACATTGCAACTAACTGAATAGAAGCCAAGGGCAAACCATAAAGCTGGACTTCTTCAGGGAAGGTGCCAGCAGAAGAGTACATTAAGTTCCCGAACAGCCAGTGACTAAGGGACAATCAGGTGCTTTCCCAGCTAAAATTATCATCTTTCCATTGCTGTTTAATTTAGAAACATAACAAGTAACATTCATAGCAGTATCTGCAAGACCTTCATCACCTATTTTAAGTTGCTTCCTGTTCCATAGCTCTCATTATTGATCAAAGTATTAAAAATAAAACAAGGCATGACCAGTTATTAACATTTTCTCTTAGCAAGACAATATAAATGATTCTAAGTTTTGCCTCTGAGTCGCCCCCCACTAGTCTTCCTATTACAAGCACCACACCTTGTGTCTCTTCTATACCCATATTTCGCCCATTTCCAGAGGTGGAACAAATCCACACTGGCCTGGAGCCTTTTTCCTTAGAGAAAAATCAAGCAGAATTATACTTTTGGCACTTAAACCAGCATTTTTCTTTTTCTGGAGTCAGTCAAGTGAATGTTTTAGAAATTCTTAAATCCAGGTACATCTCACACGTGCTAAAGGTTTGTGCATTTGTCAACAGTTTTACCTAAAGCTTTGGAACTACCTCTGTACATGAATGTGAAGGTGGCCCTGCTGCACTTACCTATCTGCTTGTCAAGAATTTGTGGTGATTAATAAAGCAGCAGATCTGCTAAATCTGTAAGAACTGTGCCCCAGACGTCCAGCTGCGACACTCCATGTACTTCCTGCAATGGCTGCCTGACATTTCCGAGCACTTAGGCAGAATTCTTTCAGCCACAACAGATTTGCAGCAGCTGAGCCAGAGCGCTGAGCTCTGAAAATTTTAAGGTTTAACATACTAAAATGGATTGGAGAGCTCTGCCTCTAATCACTCAGGACAAATGCCTCCCCTTTTTCAAGCATGGATGAGGTCACCTTCCTACTCCGTTTTGCTAAATCCTTTTTGCATTGACCCAATAAACTTCAAGATTTACCCCAAAAAAAAAGGACAGAACTACAGTGTTCAGCTAGTCAAATTTTTATCTAGAATCTCCTTTAAGTGGGTCAGTATTAATACGAACAAGCACTGATTCACTTTTAGCAAGCTGGATGAAGGTAGCAACAGATGTTTCAGCAGACTTAGTGCTATTCATGATTGAGGGCTAACTTCAAAATTAACCCACAAAACAAGTGCCARATTTAGGAAATCTTTTCATTCCTTTCATCTCAACATAGAGAGAGTGAATTCCTCAAATAATCCTTCTGATACAAATGTATATCCTAGTGAAGGCCTTTTAAAAACCTAGTGTATATTAAGTGGAGACATTACTGAAGCCTGAAACTTGCACAGAGTTGCAGGTGTCCTGGGGAGAAAAGGCCCTTTGAGGGACAGAGGTCACCCTCATTGCTCCATGGGCCACGCACAGGATTTGGGAGCTCCACAGCTTTACCTTATGTAGGGTAAAGTGCATGTACTGTAGCGCCAGGAGCAAAGATATTAAACAAAGTCCCTCCCTCCCAAGTCTCCTAGTCCTTTGGAAATGCTTTGGACTAAAATGAAGTTGCAGTTCTGATACAGAAACTCTCAGAGACAAGAGTAAGAGCAGCCTCATTAAGGGGGTGAGGGTGCTCTGCTAATTCTCTACTTAAATGTATATATTCATCTATATTCACTGAAAAAATGAAGGAAGTCCATTTCCAAGAAGGGCAGTTTCATGCAAAAGTCTTCTGGGTACCATCTAACCAGAGCTAATGCTCAAGCTTGCCAGTGATTTCAGAGTTCAGCTAGAACACAAAAACCTGAAGCACTTAAATCTCATTTCCTATCCATTTACAGCTTCCAACAAGCATCATAAAACCCTCTCTTCTTCCACTAAGTAAGAGGAGCACAAGGCTGTTTCTAGACAGACTATGCAGACAGACTTTGTTAGTTAACTTACTACTTTGGACTGATTTAGTTTACCTGCACAGGGAAGAAAACTCTGAAAGCAAACCTGCTAAAAAGAAGGAAGCAAAAACCCAAACTATTCTAAGGTGTAAACAGACAAAATTCAATCCAAAATTAAGGTACTTGGGGGGTAGGGAGGGTGGGTTAAATGAAGTAACAGCAAAAGGTTTAGAGACCATCCAAATGATGATACATTTAGGGAAAGTTACCCACTGGAAAAGACCCAAAAGCAACTTGTCTTTGCAGGACAGGCTGCCAGGGTAAGATTTAGTGGCTTGTGCAAAGTACCAAGGACAGTCTGAGGCCACATGACCAAAAGAATACAAAAGGAATAAGAAAAACTGCAGCTTTATTGGACTGTCTGGTATTTATAAGGACTGGTATCTTGTCCTGTGCCAGCACTTCACATAAAGGCTTTTCATTTTTTTTTTACTGAGAAGTGTTAAGCCTAAACTACTACTTTAACTACCAAGCTCCCCAACGAATCACATTGATAGAAGTATTTTAGGACTATGCCACTACTAGCTCCCTAGTTGTTGGCACAGAAAGCTTCATCTGGAAACCTTCAAGTAAGTATAATCCTCTTCAGAGTCATCAAGAGTCTGGCAGAGTCCACTAGAGTTTCATCATCCGTTATTTGATCATTTTTATCCCCAAATAACAGGACACAGTGACATGTCTTATCACGAGAATGATAAAACATTATTTGGCCAGCACACAGAACTCGCTGGTTGAAGCCCTTCTCTGCCCAGTGCCAAAGGCAGCAGCCCGGCCAGGAGGTGCCTGGCTGGCAAACAGCAGATACTGTTTACACCACATTCCAACAAGGATTTCTTGGCTAAAGCCTGCACTGAAATTCGACCTTTTCACAGATACAATCCTTGGCTCTTGTACTAAGTTTAGAGGTACTGCGAGGCCACAGGGACAAAGTTCGTAACACGAAGGCACCTGTTGAGGCACCTCTGACACAGAGACCACGGCTTTTCCTTTGCAGCAGCTCTGAGGAGTCTGACACTTTCAGAGCAGATGCCAAAGATTGGGGAGGTCTGGGTGCACATTCCAAGGCATTTTGCTTGAGGAAAGCTCCTGAAGATAATTCTATAGTTAACACAGCCAAACACACTTCTGTTCTTCCACCTTCTAAGGAAGAAGAATTCAAAATCAAAAAAGTCCAGAAATTCTCACTTCCAGCTACCAGGACCTGCTTTTGTTTCTACACAGGATCATTTTAACTGATGGTCCTAATGCATGCAGGTAGTTTCCACATCTTACCTTACCAGAAAGGCAATACATATCCAGAAGTCTACATAGCAGCCTAGTTGGTTCCTGTTCACCAAAGACAGGTTAGAAGCACAGCATTAACTTATCAAGCACATCTGATGCACAAGATTAAGCTCAGACAAGACCATTAAGGCTCTGATTACTCCACAGAAATCAATTAAGTGCATCTTATCTCAAAGAAAAGGCTCATGTTATTTAAGCAAACCATTCATTGCTCACTGCAGGGATGTACCACTTTGCAACACCGTAACAGCTCCCTACTTCATAGAGGTCTTCTGCTTTCTAAAGAAAAAGAACAAATTAAGGTATTTGTCAGGAGGGAGGAGGGAAATAGCAACTAAAACCTTTTCAATGTCTYAGAGCATAAGCTGCGACTTACCTATACCAGCCTTCTGTGGGCAGGTAGTATGAAGCTCAAGGGAAAGAGCTGAAGGAAGAAGCTCAAGGGCAGCAGGCAGTGCGTGCTCTGCACTGCAGGCTGAGCACCACTGTGCTAGAGCTGCGGGCAGAATGCTGTCAGCATTGAGCCACMAACAGCTACTAAAGAAGCTACTATGGACTGAAAAATAAGTCTGCTCTGTTCCTTCATTGTATTTTGAAGTGTGAACTATCCAAGACTGTTCTCAGACTCTAACCATTCTTCCCTCCCACTGCCACAGAGCTCAGATGTACTTTCCAGAAGAGCACCAGCAGCCTGGAGTCCGAGCACATCACAGCTGTTCTTTGGTCAGCTGCATGGCTCTCTGCTGAGTAAATGGGGCATGTGCTCCATGCCAGGCTATCTACACCACACAGGAACAGATACATCTTTCAAAGCACCAGCTAGGACAGCAAGCAATGCTCAGAGCAAGCAATGCTAAATCAAGCTAGTCAAAAACACCTGTACATTATTAAATGACTGCACCTCACTCTGAAGTCTTTGAACCTCCTGCTCAAGATGTTCCTGGCCACGGAGCTGCAGAAAGATTTGCAGAGTCACTCGGCTGCCCAGGATAAGCAATAGTTCAGTTCGTATCTTCACATTCAGGGCTGAGCAACTGCACTTCAGGACAAAAATAAGCCAGATACAAAGCCAGGGCATGACCAACACATATCTATACCTAATAAAGAATAAGCAAGTTTTACAGAACAATCATTAAAATGAGTCAAGAGTTTTTGATGGCAGCAACCATCAGCACATTTCATTCAAAGAGTGATTCTCTTCCTTCCAACTGAGGGAGAGAATCTGAAAGGCAGTTTAAGGATAGTAGCCATATGTTTTTTAAAAAAATCCCTTACCCATTACAAGCATATTCACTTTACATAGCACTGGCCTGGTGTAATATATGAATATGCAAATGTAATGAATATAAACTTCATTTTGTACAAACTTTTCCCATTAATGTATCCTTAATCAGCATTTCACAGGGAGGGTGTTTTGGCAAAGGAAAGTCAGACCTGAACACTCTCAAATCATTCTGCATCCTGCATCTTGAAGTGAAGCAGATGTAAGAAAATTAGAACCTAGGAGATAATTAGGATTAACTGTTAAAAAGCAAACATCTCACTGGCAGCCAGCCCTTCCCTGGCTGATCCTTTTCTGTAGGGAGCTCCTGTTGTGCTGCTGGAGTCCTCAACACCGCAGACAGGGCTGAAACTCAGCTCTAATAGCAAATATTTGAGCAACTAGTAGATAAGAAATTTCAGAAGACTCTGGTATTTATAAGAGCTCAGTCCATACYGATAGTCCATAATTGCTATTTATTRTTGTCAAACTGACCCTATGGTAACAAGAAACTCCAGTGTTCCTCAACAGTAAAGTTAACCTCCCAGGTTTAGTCAACTCTTCTCCCTGCTGACTTGGATACTGATAAAAAGCAAACTTTGGTACCCTGAGAGCTATGACATTTCCTGCCACAGCCGCTATCACTAAGCAAGCACAAACACAACAGATGTTCCAAGCACCAGGACAGTGCAGAACTGCTTGGCAAAGCATTTTTAATTGCTGCTGTCTGATGCTGGCAAAATAAGGCTAGCAGTCAGAGATAATCTTTTTATCAAGACAAGTGATACAGCTGGAGAAAAGACCAGCCTCTGGGCTCAAAAGCTTTCCTGGATGAGAAAGAGGCGAGCAGAGCTGCCTGGCTAGGTCAGCATCATTGCCACCCACGTATGTTGGTAAGTGGGACTTTTGTCTTTTCTGTAGGACAGACTGTCCTGCACATTGAAATTAAATCAGTTGCCTGGTGCTCAGTTTGGTCAACTGTTTTTCRTTAGATTTTTAGCCCTCAACCAAAAACAGCCCTTGAAGAGCAAGCAGTTGCACTGGAGCTCATCATATAGAGGAGTTCACATAGAAATAGTTACCACACAACGCACATTAAGAACAGCTAGCTAGAGCTACACTAACACCCCATGAAAGAAGTCCTCAAGACAAACCGGAAACTAGAGATGAAGATTCCAGCACTAGCAGAACTCAGAAGACTTGGACTTTTGTTGGCAGGTCTATAACACTAGTTCCAGAGCACCTGAAGCCACCAGTCATTTCGAATGTAACAATTAAGACAGCCAATTTTCTTTTTACATGGTAAAGTACATTATTGCCCACTGAGCTGTTTGCAATATTCCAGGGGCAATGTCAGTCTGAAGYTGTTGCAAAGAAGAGGACAAGGGAGGCAAAGCATAGTATTAAATGATAAATTGCTTCAGTCATAGGAAGACATAGGCACCAGAGCTTTCAGCAATGCCAGCTAAGCTAAGAACCTGGTTTCTAYGTGCTATTTTTATCTGTTTTGTTCAACTGCCCCTTCCACACCCAACTAGTCACCCTATGACACCRGCTTCCATGGTGCTTGATGTACTTGTTAAAGTCCAAGTGAGCAAGCTCTGCTGGGCTTCCAAGAACCAGTCCACCCCATTCAACACGCGGCCAGAGCAAAGATCRCAGCACACAGGCCCCTCCAGAGACTTGGCCAAACTCAGCAGGGTTTAACGATTTAATCCAAGTTCTGGAACTGCCAAAGCTGGGAGAGTGAGGTAGGGATGAAGAGGCAGGAGATGGAGATGAAGAAAGGGGAGCAATGGGACAACATGAATCCAGCAGCACTCAGAACASTTCCAGTATCAGGGACGTTAATGCTATGGAAGGTTTGAATCACTGCTCCACTGTATCAAACTGCAACCAGAAGAGCTGGAACTTWGGAGATCTGGATAACCTCTCAACATGAGTTGTCCTTGACAGGCATGTTATTGTCATCTTTTCTTCCTTATTATACTAGGATATTAACCATTCTAGTGCATTAATCTCTGGGTTCCCCCTCCCTAGGACAAACCTGAAAATAGTAGCTTAGGCTTTTAGCGTTTCAAAAAGCTGCTTTATTTACCAAATAGATAATATAGCTCTTAGAAGAGGAAGGGGAACAAATCAGTCTAACTCCTCAAAAAGCAGTTTTGCAGGATGGAGGGTAATGCCCCTGACCTCCAGGTCTCTGAAGCGCAGGGGAAAAATCTATTTCACCCCTAGAAGAGACAATCTTAGGGCTGCCTCACCCTCTACCAAGCTCATTCTCTCAATGACACTGAAGGGCTATCAATGTAATAAAGCTAAAATACAAATACTTAAGTATGAAGCAGGAGACCAGAGACCATAAATTTACCTGCAGTCCTTCAATACCCTTCCTGTTTTTACCCTTGTCTTTGAGACCAAAATAAATGATGAATGAAATAATAAAAGCGCCTGTATATCCAGTGATCCAAGAAGGGACAGGATTAGTTATTCAAGCACCTCTTATAATAAAAGAGCTAAATAAGCATTTAGAAAAGAAGCTGTAATATGGGAATGAAGAGCAGAATAGGCAAATACTACCCCACACAGGCAAAGGAAGCAGGCATTATAAAATAAGGTCTGATTAGATATTAATAACTTAAATGACTGAACTATAAACCCCATGCCATGAGGGATTAAAGAATGTGTCAGCATAAGCAGCATTATTAATATCACTTGGCAAACTGACCACTGATAAACAAGGTATGAACACAGGGTACCAGTTAAGTGCCTGCAGCTTATTAATAAGTTATTCCAGAAGGACATACCAGTAACCGGGATGCGGAGCTGCAAGGGACAGGGAGGAATCCCAGTACTTACCACACTGGTGACAACAGCACAGCAACAATAAGAGGAAGTTACAACCGCCCKGAGGCCGGCCAGGGGAGAAGGCAGCCGCAGAACGGGGAGCAGCGGGGCCTCGCGGGCCCTTTGGAGCGAGGGCACCAGCGAGGGGCTTCCCCAGCCGCCAGGGCGGCTCACGCCAGCGCTGCCCTGGAAGGAACCGGGGGGATGCACCAGCTGGGCGGGCAGAGCCCGGGCCTCAGGAGGGAGCCTGGGGAGGCGCCGAGCGCAGGGCCGCTACACAGCACGGCCAGGGCCTAGGGAACCGCGCTCATGGGGAGCGCGGACAGCCGCGGCCCGCACCCCGGCCCTCGCGCGGGGGGCAGCCCCGGGCCCTGCGAGCCCCGCGAGCAGCGGGGGCAGCGCCGCCCGCCCGCGGGCCCTCGGGCCGGGCACAGCGCGGAGCCCCCACGGGGGAGGCGGCCCCGCTGCGGATCCCCCCGCTCCCCCGGCGCGAGGCCCCGCGCGGGGCTGTTGCGGCTCCCGCCTCACCTGCCGCCCGGCCCGCGGCCGCSCGCGCCGCCGCCCGCCGCTCCCAGCCGTCTGCGGGCCGCCCCGCCGCCGCGGACCCCTTAGCAACCGCCCTCGCCGCCGATTGGCCGCGCGCGCACGCCACTCGTGCCCGAGCCGCGGGATCATTGGTCAGAAGGCGGGCCGGGGGCGGGAGCGCGCAGAAGCCGGGCGGCTCGGTTTCCATTGGTCGTTTGTGACGCAGAGGGGCGGGCTCCTTCGGCTCCATTGGCTCAATCGCCTTTCAGTCAGGCGGCGGGCGGTGATTGGCGTCTGTGGGCGGGGCGGGCGGCGCGTGTGGGAGTCGCGGCTGCTGCCGCCATGACAGAGAGCGCAGGGTGTGGGGGGCGGCCCGCGAGGGAGGCGGGAGCCCGGCACGGAGACCCCGGGGGACCCGGGGCCGGCGTGACACTGCCCGGGTCACAGCTCCCCGGTGCGCATCACCTGCCCCGCCTCACTGTGGGGCACAGTGGCGATGGGAAACACACGGGGGGAGCTTGAGGGACCGTCAAAATGGTTGCTCGCAAGTGGCGGTGCCGAGAGCCTCGCGATGGGGCCTGCTTGTCAGGAATAGGACCGGCTCCAAACCCCGAGCAAGGCGCTGAGGGGCCCGTCCGGCACCTGGCACTGGGTGGGTTGCGTGAGCAGGACTGCAGCCTGCGCTCCCCATGAACAGACCTGGCGGGTCTGCAGGCACTGGAGGAAAGCAAATAAACACCATATTTAAAAAAAAAAAAAAAAAAAAAGTCTGCAACGTGATGTTTACACACTTGCTTTTCTGGTAGCGTCCCAAAAGCGCCACGTGCTGTATCCCTAGTATCATCAGCCGTTTCTAGCTACACTAATGGTCACTTTATATAAGTGGATGGAAAAATCCTTTCCCTGATTGCAGACATTTTGTTGCCTCTTGTTTACCGGGAGCTGGAGCTTCCTACGTAGAGAAAGCTCTGGAGGAGCAAGTCACATTTTCCAGGCGGTTGTRTATCCACAGGGATGACTAAGCCCCTCGCCTGAGTCACCGGGGAAGCGCTGGGGAAGGATGGGGATCACTAAAGTGGCCATGGCAGAGCCGACCCGCGCTCCGGGGCTGCTCCTGTTCCTGCCGTCACGCTGTGTGTGGGAGCCCGAGCGCTTGGTCAGCCCAAAGGGCCGGGGCTCGTGGTGGTCATTGAGCCCTCTGGTCAGCCTGCTGGCTTGGGGTCCGCTGCGTCTCAGTGCTGCTGGGCTGTGCTGGTGATCAAGGCACATGATAGGTACCTGCAGGGTTGTTATTTGCCCTTCCGCTATTAGCCTCTTATCAAAGTGCTTAATGGACGTGTTTTAATGTGATTACAGGCAATTGCAGGCGAGTTGGTTCTAGTTGCAACGTGGTTGCTCATCCCAGACGCAGGCAAACTGCAGGAAAGCTCAATGAAACAGCCCTGAACCTCTAGGCAAGTTCTGTGCATTAAATCTTGAGGCTGGTGATTACTGTGGCCCGAAGGAAGCTCCGCTGTTTAGGAGGGTGCTGGCTTCACGACTGACCCAAACCAACCAAAACACTTTAGTGGCATCCGTCTTGCCCCAGAGGAAAACATAAAACCTGTGGCAGCTTTTTGTAGTGGGGTACACAGCTATTTCAGYGAGGAGATGTGAGGAGTAGAATAAAACTGAATAGGCAGCAGTCTCAGTTTCTAGGTGCCTGTGTTAAAACTACGAGCTGTGAAGATGACAGCATGAGGAGGGGAAGGGGTGGAAAAAGGGCTGCATCTCCAAAAGGGAAGGAACTTTGTGAAAGTCAGTGGGAATTTTGCTCCTGATTTCAGAGAGTTTTGCCCTGATTTCAGAGAGTTTTGCTCTGATTTCAGAGAGCAGCGGCAGGGGTTCAGCTGCAGCTCCCGGTGCGGGAGCGGAGGGGCAGTGCGTGTGAGCACAGACCAGGCTGCGGGCGATAAAACAGCCCCTCGCTTGGGGCTCGTGGAGGAGGCTCCCTCCCCGGAGCGTGCGCGGAGCTGACGTTCCTGGAGCCAACCCCATGGTGGTGACGGTGACGCCGATGATGATGATGATGAGCACGACACGACTTGTGCGTGTTGGGAGCAGTGGTGTGTGCAGGAGGTGGAGAGCTCTGGCCGGGTGCCAGGGTGAGTCGGTACCGCTCACAGCAGACAGCTCACGCTCAGGAAATGCCTTCTGAGCAGGAGCCCAAATCATCCCCTGAACGAAAGGTGCTGGGAAGAGCCGGGTTTCATTTCCAGCCCGCTCACCAGCTAGGGAGGATTTGGCGCCTCCAGCCCAGCAGCAACTGGTGTTCCTGCACAGAAGAAGGGATCCAGAAACGCGCTGGTGCTTTGGAGGCAAAGGGATAKCTCCGTGATTGGGTGTGGATCCTGCAAAGGAGGCAAAACTTATACGGAGGAAAATGTAGGGAAAACACATAGCTTTGCCTTCAGCTGCGGGCGCAGACTTGCCTTTCTACAACAGGGCCAAAAAAAGGCTGATTATATTTTCAACTTTTAAAATCCAGCATTTTAAATGTGCCAGCAGAGAAAACTGGCTTCAGTGCTGGACCAGTGTGAGAGACAGCTGTGCAGCACCCTGGTGACATAAACACCTTTTATTCTTTACATTCCTGTCTTGGCTCTTGCTCCCACGAGGGACTAAATCATTTTCTGCTTCATGTCCCCAGGCCCAGCTTTTCCCCTGCTCAGCAAACTTACCGTGCACTGAACGACTTCCAGGGACTTTGCACCTCTTAGGAAACCTTCCTTTTTGCTGGAGGAAACATTGTGCTATTGATCTCTGCCGGTGCAGCAGGAGCAAAAGCAAAACACATCTATCTATCTATGACAGGCCTTGATTGCCAGCTGAAAATAAACATAGTGCCTGTCAGGGACACGTGAGCCAAAGATGGAAATCCTGGCAATGATTTTTTCCCCTTTGCCCCTTGTGCTTTCCCTGCRGCGCTGGAGAGGTGGAGAGGCTGCTGGGTCCGGATTCCTGCTGCTCTTTGGACTCTTACGTCTTTTCTGAAAATGGTGCCTAAAAGCCTAATGGGCACTTTGCAGGTCTCTAAATAGAGCAGCGCCTGTCCKGAGGAGCTGACAACGTAAGAAAACAAATACCAGGGATGGGAGAGAGGCTGCATCACCCAGCGCAGCCGTGGAGGTGGCACATGGCCCACCTGCTCAGTATTTTTCCATCATGCACTCAGTCAGCTGCTCGTTGCCAGCTTTCAGCTCTGCTGCCCTCCACAAAACCTTTTGTTCTGGTCTCATTTAGCAGCTTTTGCGCTCATATTCTTTAGCACTCCAGATAATTCCTATCTGTAAAACTTACTGGCTAACCTTGGCCATGCTGGGTTGCTGCTGCCCACCTTTTGGTCCACTTTTAAACCAGAGTCCCCTGAGCTCTTCTTAGGGATCAAGACGTTTCTTCTGCCCCCCCAGACTTTTTCTGCCAAACTGAGCAAGCTCTGCCTGGTAGTACAGGGGAGATCACTGGTCATTTTAGAGCGGATGGGCTGTTGCATTCTCAAATTATTGCAGTAATAGAAGAGAGAAGCGCTACTGAGCTGAGCACCTCACCAGGCTCTGCTCAGCTGGTTCTGTCCCCAAATTCCTGACAAGAAGGTCACTCCTTTCACCCCATGTCCAACCACAGCTGCAGGAAGAGGATTTGGAGAAGAGTTCCCCGAAATTCTGTGCTCTGGGGAGTCTGGATGAGAGAGCAGCTATGGGTGCAAAGCAAACGTAGTAAAGCCAGGGAGATGTATGAGCTTCTCCTGGAGTATTTCCAGAATGTCATACCGAGCAAGGGAGGCTGTTTGTCTCCTGTGTAATTCTGAGCGGCCTGTTGGACACTGGCCGCTGTCCTGTGTTCCTGTGGCTGGGGCTTGGCGTGACGGCAATGCCGCAGGCTCAGAAAGCCGGAGAGGGAGCCTGGAAAGCCACGTTCTTTCAGTGACTCTTTGTGAAAGGTTTTTGTGGGAGAAGTTGCTCTATACGTTGTGGTGGATGTGGAGAAGAAGAAGTTGCAAGGAGAACAGCTCRGCGAGCCAAGCAGCAGGATTGCTGCCCTCCCTGTTAAAATCCCTGCCTTGCTTCAGGAATGGGGAAAAGACTCCTCCCAGATATCATTATTTACAGGAACGACATGATCAGGGATGGGAACTACTGCCTTATACTGCCAAAATAGTAGGAATCGGGATAGATCTGGGAAGTAGGATCCAAACATCCCACTGTTTGGATGAGAATAAGGAATAAGGTGATGGTTACAGCTTGGGGACAGCTGTAACAGGATGGTGGTGGTAGAGCACAAAGGGTGTGTGGTGGAAGTGTGGAGGGCAAGCAGGAGCACACGGAGACAGGCTGGATTCTGGCATGGGGAGGAGGCAGCGGGGGGCAGGAACCGGACAGGATGAAGGCTGCTGCAGAAGAAGGAACATCCTCATCTGCCGGGTCCATCTCTGGGGTCACACCGGCAGCACAGGCCAGCGGGGAAGGGCAGGTGCCATGTGTGGAGTTGAGCTGGGAAT